CTCTAAAATGTATCTCTTATAGAGAGCATGTTGTTGGATCTTGTTTTTTTTTTTTTAATCCATTCTGCCACTCTGTTGTTTAATTTGTGAGTTTAATCTAGTTACATTTGAAGTGGTCACTGATAGGCACAGACTTATGCCATTTTGCTATTTTGTTATTTGCATTTCTTACATCTTTTTGGACCAATGTAATTTGATTTGATCCCAGCTTAGCTTCAGTAGTGTACAAAAGCTCTGCCCCACTTCCTGTTATGTTGTTATTGTCTCACATTACATCTTTATGTATTGTGTAGCCATGAATACATACTTATAATTACTGTTTATGCATTTCTCTTTTAAATCATATAGGAAGCAAAAAGGAAAGTTACAAATCAAAGATACCGTAATACTGGATTTTACATTAACTTATATAGTTACCTTTACTGAAGTTTTTGTTTGGGGGAAGGGGGTTTAATTTACTAAGGTTTTTTTATTTCATCCTTAAGAATCTAAAGGGAATTCTTTTAGGACAGGCCTTCTAGCAATGAACTCCCTTGGCTTTTTGCAGGAAATGGAATTCTTGGTTGATAGTCTTTTTTTCTTTCAGCACTTCATTTATTTATTTATTGGCCACACCACACAGCATGTGGGATCTTAATTCCCTGACCAGAGACTGAACCCATGCCCCCTGCAGTGGAAGTGTGGAGTCTTAACCACTGGACCACCAAGGAAGTCCTTTCAGCACTTTAAACATGTCATCCCGTTGCCTTCTGGTCTCTGGTTTCTGATGAGAAACTGACTGTTAATCTGTGAGGACCCCTTACTAAGGGGTGATGCATCTTCTGCTTTTGCTGCTTTCAAGATTCTCTTTAGCTTTTGACAGTGTGATTGTGTTGTGTTTCAGTATGAGTCTCTTTGAGTGTATCTTCCTTGGAGGTCATTGAGCTTCTTCGATGTATATAGGCAAACCTTGGAGATACTGTGGGTTCAGTTCCACACCACCACAATAAAGCAGATAAAGGTAGTCACATGAATTTTTTGGTTTTTCAGTGCATATTGAAGTTATTTTTGTATTGTGGTCTACTGAGTGTGCAGTAGCATTATGTCCCCCCAAAATTTATATACCTTAATTTAAAAATGCTTTATTGGTAAAAATGTTGACCATCATCTGAGCCTTTAGCAAGTTATAGTCTTCTGCATCAGTAGCATCAGAGATCACTGATCACAGAACACCTTAACAAATATAACAAAAACGTTTGAAAAATTGTGAGAATTACCAAGATGTGACATAGAGACAGGGTTGCCACAGACCTTCAGTTTGTAAAGAATGCAATATCTGCAAAATCCCCTAACGTGAAGTGCAGTAAATAAAGCAAGGTATACGTGTAAATCCTATATTTCATCAAGTTTGGGAAGTTTGCAGATGTTATTTCTTTAAAGATTATTTCTGTTTCTTTGTCTCTCCTTTTCCCCTGGGAATTATGACACATATGTTGGTATGCTTAGTAGTGTCACAGGTTTCTTAGGCTCGGTACATTTTTCTGCATTTGTTTTTGTGTCTGCTCTTTAGACTTTAATTTCAGCTGTCCTGTCTTCAAGTTCACTGATTATTTCTTTTGCCTAAACTCCTTTAGTGAATTTTTCATTTCAGCTATTTTTCGGTCGCAGATTTCTATTTGCTGCTTTTAAATAATTTCTGTCCCTGTATTAATATTTTGTTTTTGGTACGGCATTGTTCTCCTGGGTTATTTTTTCATTCTTTGCCATGGTTTGCTTTAGCTCTTTGAGCATATTTAAGACAGTTGACTTAAAGTCTTTCTCTAGGGAGTCTGATGTCTGGGCTTCCTTAAGGCCAGTGTCTTATTATTGTTTTTCCCCAATGAAACAGCTATACTTTCCTGTTTATTTGTGTGCCTCCTAATTGTGAAAAACGTTCACTTTTAAATTACAACGTGATAACTCTGGAAATTAGATTCTTCTCCTACCCCAGGGTTTATTGTTATTGATTGTTGAGAGCCTCTGTTGTTTTTCTGTTTAGTGCCTTTTCCAGACTATTTTTTGCAAATAATATTTCTTGTCATCTGTGGTTATTGAAATCAGTGTCCTATTGATTTACTTAAACAACTGGAGCCAAAAAGAAAAAAGAGGTAATAATAAGTAAATTAAAACAAAAACAGAAAACCCTTCTTGGTCTTTCCAGATTGGCTTTGAGCAGGGGCATTCCTTCAGTGCTAAACAGGCCACCTGTAACTGTCTTAGACTTAACCTGTTTCTTGGACAGAGCTCAAAGATCAGCAGAGGTGCAAGCTTAGGGTTCTCACAGCTCTTTCCTAAGGATGCATCTGGTCCTGGGAATGCTCTATGCGCTCTGGATTCCCCAGTGTATGGGATAGCCGTTTAAAGCCTTTACTCCTCTAAGCATCTTCGTCCTCATCCTCCTTCTTCCTAGGCCTTTGGCTCTGTCTGCTGCATACTCCATCCAGCGTCCTTTGCACACATAACTACAGGTAGCTTATGTCTTTAGATGCTTTCATTAGATGGCACTTGGAAAGCCACTCCAGCCTTAGGCGGGCAAACAAGGGTCAACCTCTGTACCAGTCCTTGGGGGATTACCAGACAGGTCAGAATACACAGCCACACGTTGAAAACAAGGTTCAGCAAAACACACCAGGAGCACAGGTTACCATCTCCAAAGCCTCTGCTGAGCTAGCGGATGGCTTTGTAGGTAGGTAGGGAAAATAGTTTCTTAACAAAATTTAGCAGCTTCTTTGTTCAGTAGGTGCGTCCTTGGTTGTGCTCAGTTTTTTATTAGATTCCAGAATTTTAAAAAGTTGGTTCTGTCTGTTTCTGCCAGCTTACTGTTTGTTTCAGTGAAAGCAATGATTCTAAAACTCCCCGTCCGGCCATTTCTGTGATGTCACTCCCCTACCCTCATGTTTTTTGTTTCTTTTAAGCAGTTTTAAACAGCAAAAATTTATTATCCCACACGGTTCTTGAGGTCAGAAATCAGGTTGCCTCTCAGTTTAGCAGTCCTGGCTCAAGGTCCCTGACAAATTTGCATTCAGACTGGTTGGCCAGAAATGCAGTCATGTCAAGGCTCAAGTTGCCTGTGGCATGTGGAATCTTCCTGGACCAAGGATTGAACCCGTGTGTCCTACATTGGCAGGCGGGTTCTCTACCACCGAGCCACCAGGAAAGCCCCTCTTCGTGTTTTGTTTGCTTTATCTTTATGTTCTTGGATGCTTTTGGTATTCTTTATGTGAGGCTGAGATAGCTGTGATCTTCTTACAGGAGAGAAAATGTGAACCTCGGATAATTCCTTAGCGAAGAGGAATTGGTTTGATCTTCCCTGGAGGCATTACCACTACCTGCTTTATTCAGCCCTAGAGATGGAAATGAGAGACCCTAAGAGACTTCACACAGCCTTGGAGTAGAGCAGCAAACCCTTATAATTGGCCTTTTCTCCCTCCCCTATCAGACTCCTGTTGTTCCAATCCACAGAGCTATGAGATAGGCTTCCTGGGCACCCAGGACCTTAAAAATATCACTATAAACTACTTTCTCATTGTGTTCCTTTGTAGCTGTGTTTGGTGGTTTGCTTTATGGGGGAAATGTATCCTTTTTGGTTTAAAAAAAAAAAGTGTGTGAGAGAGGAGAGCAGATGATTCTTCCGGTAGGTCCTACTCCCCACTCAGAAGATCAGCACCTGTTCACAGAATCCCTGCTGTATGGTGAGGCCCTGTACTGGGTGCCAAGGGATGCTGAAGTGTAGAGAACAATGCTCAAGTGGCTTCTGTGTAGTCCAGAGGTGGAAATATTACCTGATGAAAAAAAAATAAAAAATACAAAGTAGCATTTATGCCCCTAGTGGTTGCCACAGTACTGATAAGGCAGATACTTAAACTTTCCTAAGTAATAATGTGAGAAGCAGAAGGAAAATAATGGACATGGCCAGGAAATAAAGTGAAAAGTCTTTGTTAATATGTTTGTTTTTCAGATCTAGTAAAATATTTCACAACATAATGATATCTGAGACCTTTTGATATCCTGCTTGTAGAACCTTCTTTTTACATTTGACTTTCATCTGGCTCCTTCTCATCAGTAATCAGACAGTTTCACTTTTACTTAATTACTTGTTGCCATACAAAAAGACCATTTGCATCTGCATTGTTTTTAATTTTGAAAAAGTAAATTAGGTTTGTGTTTATAGTTTTGTATCCACTGTTCTAATATCATTTCAGTATTTACAGAGGGTTTCATAAAATGAATTAGCCATTGGGTCATGATAAGAATAGAAAGGCAAACCTAGCCCCCAGTCTACCAATTTGCTAGCTTCCTTTTGTGTCTGAAGATGATAATGCTAGTGGTAGTGTTTTGTTTGCATGGGTGCACCTGGAAGGTGAGGTTGGCCACAATCAGGATGTCAGCCTTTTACAAGATAGTCTTTCCTTGGCAATTGCATCTCTCCTCTAATGGGTGATACAGGCAGATTTTAAGTGTCCCGAGTAACGGGAGTTCTGCAACCTCTCTTAAGGCTGTGATTGGAATTCTTCTGAAATAGAAATGTGTGTATGTAAGACTTTTTTTTTTTTAACATCATTCAGATCTTAAGCTCACTGTGAACCGGAGCTTGACCTATATATAACAAGAAGGGACTTATTTCTGGAAAACTATATCCTGCATCCTAAAGTAGGTAGAAATAGACCAATGTAATTTTTTTTATTTGGCTGCTCCAGGTCTTAGTTGCAGCACGTGAGATCTTTAGTTGCAGCATGTGGGAACTAGTTCCCTGAGCAGGGATCGAACCCAGGCCCCTTCCATTGGGAGCACAGAGTCTTAACTTCTGGACCACCAGGGAAATCCCTCCCCGTTCTCACATGAAGTCCATATTACCTCCTTTGTTAATGTTTCTGGTTTGAGTATGTTCTTTTCTTTCTTGTTGGCAACAAAGTATGTTTGCTTTTATTCTCTTAATAAAAAATAAATGAATTCTGAAGTTTCATTTAATTTTCCTCTTCTAGACGGTTAAATCCCACACAGAAACAGATGAAAAACAAACGGAGAGCCGCACCGTCACCCCGCCTGCTGCCCCCAAACCCAAACGGGAGGAGAACCCTCAGGTAGGCCCAGCCCTCCAGGCGTGGCTCAGCCTCTGAGATGTGACTCACTCTTGTGCATCGGGGGGACTCTTGCTTTCTGGATCAGTTGATTTCCTTTTCTTGTGCTTTCTCACTCTTCAGTGATGTTATTGCCAAGTCAGGTTGGCCTGGGACAGATTAAGAGTGTGGCCTGTAGTGCTCATGAGCTGGCAAACAGAGATTCCATAGCTGTGTCACAGATTTGAATTGTGTGATTCATGACCATTTCCCCAGGTTACCCCCCACCCCCCGCCCCGCATTCCTAATGATCATTCTGTCTTGTTTGTCTCAGCCAGCATTTATAAGCTGTCTGGTTCACTCAGTTAACGTCTGTCTATGTTACTGATTACACTTGTTACATGTGCATTTTTGTTATTACTATTGTACTGCATTAGAGCCCCATATCCCAGATGAATCAGTAGCTCAAAAGTAGATCATTGAAGCACAAAAGTAGGGATGAAAATAGTAGCATCTGTACTGCAACTTAATATAGAATTATAAACTTAAGTAGCAAACAAAACTCTGGTACAAATACAGATTGTGAATTTGTGTGTCAACAGAATATTGACAACAGAATTAGACAACAGAATATTATAGTTGATACTTTTGTATAAGCAGCTCTAAAAGAAAAATGTGGACAGGTAATATGATGATGAATATCTGATAGTTGGATTTTATTAGACCAGCAATCCATTTTCTTCTGTCCTCAGTGCATTCTTTGTAGTGAAACCATGTCAGATAGTGGCATGAAGCCATCAAAGCTTTATGTCATTTTTTTAGAGCAATGACTTATTAAGCCAGTTTAGGTTTTTCTACAAGTACAAATTATAATTCTTTATGATATGAAATGAATTAATTTTTAATTTGTTTTTTAAAGAAGAGACCAAAACTTGAACCAAAAAGCAGTACTAGTCATGCATGTTGCTGAGAAACTTAAAAATCATCTGCAAAATTAGTGTCACGTATTAGGCTTGGAGGGTGAAAAAGAGAGCAGATTATTAGCAAAATTCCCTTATCAAAAGAAACGGAAGGATATCTTATGTCAGTAGCACCATGTAGGCACGCACGTACCCTTGTGTATAACAGGTATTTCTAATTGGACAGAATCACTGCCATAAAGAGGATAAATTAGTTATTGGTATACATGTGATACACAGATGAGGCTAGAGTTGTTGACAACTTTTTATTCTATTTATCACTAAAAATCAGTTCCATGAAAGAGATTTTTTCCCCGTGTGGTAATTCTTTGATGAGCTTGATCTAGCCTGGCAAAGATGAGTTGGATGTGAGTGGCCAAGAAGGGTGCCGTTACTTGATTAAAAGAAGGTGCATCAGAATGTCAGTTCACACACTGCTTTATTAGCAGAGAACAGCTAGGAGACAGTCTTCTGATCTTAAGTTTTGAAGGAATAAGTGAAAATTAGGGATGCAGTTAATTGGCAGCTGCACAGTGTATGCAGTGTAGAGAACGGGCAGCAAGTCCAAGGCTTTTCCTTACTGAAGCACTCGGGCTGTTGGCAGGACAAGTGCCCACCTGCTTTTGAAATAAGAAATAAAATAATAACATTTCTTCAGGATGCTGAGAATACCAGTAAAGGACATTTTTGTGTTCTCAAGTTGCTTGTTCAAGGTTATCCTTGTAAAACACTCAGTAACTTGAGTAGCTTGAACCTGTCAGTTCAGGCCAAAATATTGTGATGTTTAATGTTGAGAGTAAAATGTCTGGATTTTCAAAGACCAAATTGTGGTATACGTAATTCTGCAGGAGTGTCAACTAATGATGTTTCCTTATTCATCAGTTAGAGAAATTGATGATATATCATTTGGCATATTTAGCAGCCGCATGCAGTGGTATAGCAGAAAATGAAGACATACTTTCCAGACCCACATCCAACCAAAGAGCAAAATGGTAATCAGTCTGTTGCTCACTCCATGTTTAAGCAACGAACGTTCCAGCCTTGCAGTCCATTGTTCTCATCAGTCTAGCTTCCGATGGAGCGCTGAGAGTGGTGGTCAGAGAGAAATCACTATATAATTTATAGGTCCGTGGTTGATTGGAAAGTCACAGTATTAAGCAAAACCACCTGCTATCATTCCTAAAACTCTTAGCTTTGAGTTTTCATTGTCCTGAAAACTGAACTGAACCTTCATTGTCCGATCAGTGGTAGTAAAAATACAAGAACTCTTGACCTGGTGTCACAAATGAAGTTCTTAGAATTTGGAGCTTGTTGTATGGGAGGCTCTTTGGAACACTCTCTGTTTTTTTTTCTCTTTTTTTTTTCAGTGTGGAGTCCTCTTTTCTCTTAGAGAATTTTTTTTTGGGAAAACTTAGGTCTTTCAGGATTCTGATTTCTGCCATTGAGAAAGTAGAAGATACAGGCCCCAATGACTCTCTTTTGATTCCTGTAAGATCAGAAAGCTTAGAGGGGAACTTCATAGCTTCTCAGAGTAGAGGGTGCCTGCTCCTTGCTCACCTGAACCTGGCTTTCTTCCTGCCACCAGCCGTTGGGTGACTCTCCCTCGGAGTCTTAACTGGGAACATGCAGTTGGCGTTGTGAGAACCCAGACTGAAGTGTATTCTTCTTTTGTTTCTCTGCAACAGAAACTTGCCTTCATGGTGTCTCTAGGGTTGGTGACACATGACCATCTAGAAGGTAAGAGAAGATGCTCATGGGCTGCCTTGCTTCTGGCCTAGAGCTTTGTTCTTGAAAATGGTGTTCGATTTATTGTTAGACTTGAAAATTGGAACACAGAGTGTGATTCAGCCCGTGTGGACTTTTTTTTTTTGGAGTAAACTTACCTTCCTTCTATCTAATGTTCAGCTTCTCTCCTGTCTTTATTTATCCACACTATTGTCCTGGGGAAATTCCCTATTTGCCTGGATTAAGGGGACTGCTGTTCACTTAGAGAAACTTTTTTTTTTTTTCCTGGCAGCACAAAGTAGCAAATGGCCCTCTGACAAGTCTTGGTATTTTTCAGTCACTTTTGATTATCAGAATCTTAGGAATAGTTGCAGAGCTATACCTCTCTTAGTTATTTAATTCAAGAATAGTAAACTATGATTCCTCAGTCTAGGTCTGTGGATAAAGTTCACTCACACCTGTATTATAGTGACCTAAAAATAGATCAGGACAGCTTGTTTACAAGTGTGGTCTGCTGTTAAGCTCTCAGTCAACAGAGAGCCATCCTGTAGGACGGCACGGCCTTGCTCTCCAAGAGGCAAGAGGGCACAGTCCTGTGTGTTTGCTCCCAGCCGTGTGGTTGCCTGGGCTGAGGCTGTAGTGAAAGCGAGAGACTTGCTCTCATCTCTTAACTTGTCACGGGAAAACCAGTAGGTAAACAGGGAAGTTAAGCTTGGCGCGGTTCTCCGTGCCTCTCTTCTAATCCAAGCCTTTTGCTTTCCCAAGAAATCCAAAGCAAGAGGCAAGAACGAAAAAGAAGAACAACAGCGAATCCGGTGTACAGTGGTGCGGTCTTTGAGCCGGAGGTACTCTAGTCAGCACTCAGCCCTTCCTTCATGTGTTCAGTACCTCCCCTCTGAAAAGCTGCTGAAGAGCAGCACCCAGATTGTACTCAGCCAGCTTTGTAAAATGGCGGGTTTTTCTCTGGCCGATCCCATTATTTCATTTTTCTCACTGTTTTTCCCCTTAGTTTCTTCCCGAAGTTCAAGTAGCTACAAACCTACCTTAAAAATTTAACTCATCCTGTCATCCGAGTGCGAGTGTCTCCTAAAGCAGAGACAGGCCTCTCTGGAGTATTCTCTTAGAGCCAAGTGCACATGCTAACCCCAGACCTTGGGGTGACCAGCCCTAACTAGTTGGCAAGCTGGAGGGCCTGCTGTGCTTGGCCTTCAGCTTGTTACCCAGTGTTAGTAATGGCCACGCTCTTCAGCCAGTCACCTCTCCTCCTTCATTCCCCCAAGCGAAAGAAGAGTGCAGTCACGTACCTGAACAGTACGGTGCATCCCGGGACCCGGAAGAGAGGTGAGTGCCTGTCTGTGTCTCTCCCTTGCTGTTGCTTTTGCTTCCGTGTTGTGTTTCCCTCCCCTCCCTCCTCCCATTGTCCTGGAGCCTGTCTTAATTCCTGTATCCCTTGAAAATAGTCTTGTTGCTGTTCTCTGAGAATGGGGGGAAAAGAGTGAGATTTCTTATTAGAGGTCTGTATACTGGATCAAAGCTGCCTTCCTGGGGTTCTGGCAGAGCTGGCTCAGGGGAATGGCTTAATGCAGCATTTCTGCCCCAGGCCCACCAGGCTGTTGATGAATAGCACAGTGAACAGAACACCCTGTAAGAGGAAGCATTTTAGCAGCATTGAGCCAAACAGAATGCTGCTGTTGCCAAGGTGGTGTTAGTAGTGTGTGAATGGTCCTGACGCAGTGAGGACAGAGCATCACTCTGAAGCATCTGTGAGCTGCAGGCTTTCTAGGAAGGAGAAGGGTAGCCATGCTGAGAATTTAGAATGTATGAGAGAAGAGGGCATCTCCAACTAAGGAAGAAAAGATCACTGTCAAAACAGGCTCCCCAGAGCAGAACTTGCTGAAGAGCTGCATCCCCCAGTTGTGGTCCCCCAGGGCAGGCGTGCCGCCTCGCCTTCAGGGCAGCCTGCACTGTTCACCACAGAGGCCTGAGTAGGCCTTAATGGCTCAGAGCTTGAGCTCATAAGCAGGGCTCTGAAATTGTTCTTTGATGTCAGTGACACAGTCCAGGGTCCCTTTCTCCATGTGATAATGTGGCCCTGAATTACAGTTCTAGGCCAGAAAGGTTGCAGAGTGAGTGGAGTAGCATGCTGATTTGTGTGCGTGCACACACTGTCTCAGGGCTGCTGGAAGCTTAGGCGGTCACCCCGACCCTTTGTCTGCCTTAGGCAGGGCTCCAAATACACCGTTCCCACCTCTTCCGCTCAGAGAGAGAGCATTACCCGCCTTAGTGACCCACTCCAGTGTTTCATCAGTCCCTCCTTCTGGAAGCCAAAACACACTTAGATGGGAGTCCTGGAGTCACTGGGCTTGCTTCATATTGATCCCTAGGCCACAGTGTCATGGGTTATTTTCTGTAGTTTTATTTTGTTTTGGGCAATTTTTAGTGACCTCTGACATAATTCTCAGAAAGGAGCCCCCAGCCAGAAGCTACAGTTAATTGGCCTGCCAGTGGGCAGTATCTGCTAAGAGGATAGGGGTTAAATGAGCCAGAAAGACCTTGGCATCTCTTGCCAAGGTCAGAGGATGAAAGCCTGCATTCACAATGCCTAGGACGTGCCTTCTGTGTGTAAACAAAGAGTATTCATCTTCCACTTTCCCTTCCAGCAGCACTAAATACCTTAGAAAAGACAAACCGGCATGATCTGTCTTTGTGCTGCAGACAGTGCTGGTTTAGCACAGATAGGTAATGTTTGTGTAATATCTGACAGACTCATGACTCGTGTGCATAATTCTAATGTAAATAACTGTTGGCAAAGTCATGATCCCATATACCATTCACCAGTGCTCGTAGGCAGTTGTGTACCTCTCTGTTTTTTGGGTTTTTTTTTTCCGCCTGTGGTATGCTGGGTGTACACTTTTGATCACTTGACATCTTAGAAGCTATGACCTTGGCCCCTGGAAGATAAAGACCCTGACTTGATATATCATAAGGCAAGAGGGGTTGGCCTGGACTTCCGACACCCATTAGGACTCGTTTGTAGATTCTCTGTAGCCGTGAAGTTTGATACAATATGCTCCTCGGTTATCAGACTAGCTGTCTCAGTTATCAGTGTTACTGATGACAGGACCTTACCTGAGACAATAAGACAGGTAGTTCACCGGCATGTTTGTGATGGGAGCAGGGAGCACTCCTTAATAACTGGGGAGGGTATCTGAGTCCAGGCATACTTAAAGTCGTCGTTAGGCCCACAACATCTTTTTAGCTCTTAGGTTTCAACTGCTTCCAGAACATCTCTCTTACTAGCTCTGCCAGCAAGGGGCAGAGTAGTTAACTTGAATTTTGCCTCTTCCCTTTGCCTTTCTCCACCCTCACAAAGTGAAGCGACCAAAATGTGTATAGGAGAGAAAAGGACAATCAGAAGTCCTCAAGAATATCTCTGGGAACTGAGAATCATTAATATTATTACATGAATAGTGATTGCAGAAAAATCTTAGGGAACAACGTACAAAAAATACAGGAAAATAAATACTTATCCTGGCCTTGGCTCCCATTGAGCTTTGATATCTTGTTTTCCCGTTAGAAATCTCAGATTGTAATAGTTGAGGAATCTCTCTATAATCTGCCCAAGACGAAGACTTTTAACATATGACCCAGAATCTCCTGCCATTCTCTGAGGCTCTCTTATCCTCCCTTCGAGACTCATGCATTTGTTTCTAATGACATTTAAATCTTTGCTTCTCTTCCTCTCTTTGGGACTGTTGTATTAACTTTCTGTCTGCTACCTCACTTCCTTTTCCATGCTAGCCAATGAGGAACACTGGCCGAAGGTATGTAAGATCATTTTTCCCCCCTTTCTTTCCCTCCCCCTTCTTTCCCCTTTTGTTCCCTTCTCTCGGTATATAGGTCGTCCTCCAAAATACAATGCAGTGCTGGGGTTTGGAGCCCTTACCCCAACATCCCCCCCATCCAGTCATCCCGACTCCCCTGAGAATGAAAAGACAGAGGCCACATTCGCTTTCCCTGCGTCTGCCCAGCCTGTGTCCCTGCCCAGCCCCACCTCCACAGACGTAAGTAACGGGGAGCGCTCAGGCTCCTTCTCAGGCCTTAGATTGGGGAAGCTGTTGTCATGTGTTGTCTCCTTACCAGCTGCGTCTCCTTGACTGACCCTGGAATGGCAGTAATCCCCCCAGGACACCATGTGCCACTTCGGCAGCTTTCTGCTGGGGCCCCCGGTCCTGCCATGGACCTGAGAATCATGTTAAATTCCACCTCAGGAAGCTCGGTCAGGGTTTTCAGTCTGGATTTTATCTGCAGTGAAGGAGTTCTCAGGCAGGGGGATGGGGTGGGGAAGTCAGCTCATGTAACTGAGAGGTGTTCAGGCGTCTTGTCATCAGTTTTGGGGAGTGGGGATAATGGACAAAGGTGCACATTTCCCCCAGCAGTCCTTGTTTCTTGCTTCAAGTAGAATTCAAGACATGGAAAACTTTTCCTTCGAGCAACTTTATTGGCAGAATTGATCAGAAACAGGTTTCTGAGAAAGCATCAATACTTAAGAGGCCTGCCCCTGAGGCTGCAGGCATTTAAACTGCGCCCCCCACCCCCACCCCTCCACACACACACACACACACACACACACACACACCTGTCTTTAAGTGAGCACTTACAGAGTGGTGACTTCGTCTAACAGACAGTGCGCACTGCTCTGCTGAGCAGGCGCTGCTCTTGAGGCTGGGGACAGAACGGGGAACACAACCAATCCCTGCCCTCAGGGAACTCACATTGCATGGCCAGAGGCAGGGGCTAAGCAAATGAACACTTAAATGTCAGGTGAAGAAACATGCAGTGAAGAAAAGGGGCACAAAATCAGAGTTATAGCAGGAGGTCCTTTATATGGACAGTGGTGAGAGAGATGGGAATGGAGTAGGTGGGAACATGCGTGGGGAGGCATTCCATGCAGAGGGGACAGCAGTGCAGAAGCCCTGCTCACAGGAGGAAGTGCGTGTGGCATAGAGAGGCACTTGGTGAGCACACGAGAGAACCTATGGGAGAAGAGGCTTCGAGGCCCGGGCCCGTCTTGCAGGGCCTTGTAGCTTTAACTCTGAATGAGATGGGAGATGCTGGAGGGTTTTAAGTAGAAGAGTAGCATTACTTTTCACTTTTTATTTTGAAAAAATTTCAAACCTACCAAAAAGCTTCAATAACAACACAGAGAACAAGTGTATACCCTTCACCTAGATTCACCAACTGGTACAATTTTGCCACGTTTGCTATTCCCCACCCCTCCACACACACTTGTTTTGTTGTTCCAGTTAAGAAGTTGCAAACATCATGAAGCTTTACCCAAAATACTTCAGTGTATATCTCCTAAAAACAAAGATATTCTCTGACATAGCCACAATAAGCTTATCAAATTGAGGAACTTTAATATGATAAAACATTATTATGATGACATACAGCCCATCTTCAGGTTTCTTCAGTTGTCTCAGTAAATGCCTTTGCGGTACTTTGTTTTTTCTGTTCTAGGATCCAATCCAAGATCACTTTTGACATTAATTTTTATGGTGCTTTGTCTTTAGTCTCCTTACTCTGGAACCGTTTTTCAGCCTGTCTTTGTCTTTCATGACGTTACTGTTTTTTGAAAGATAAGCCACGTGCTATATAGAGTGTCCCTCCATTAGGATGATCTGATTGTTTCCTCTAGAATAGATTCAGGGTGTGCTTTTTTGTGGGAGCATAAATACATGATGATGAGCCCTTCTCAGCGCATCTCAAGAGGCATGTGTTGTCCATCCATCTCATTGTTGATGTTAGCTTTAATCTCTAAGGTAGACTCCACCAAATGTCTCTACTTGTAAAGGTGCCTATTTCCTTAGGTGCAGATAGCTTTGAGTCTGTAAAAATAGCAGTCTTCAGTTCAGTCCCTCAGTCGTGTCTGACTCTTTGCGACCCCATGAACTGCAGCACGCCAGGCCTCCCTGTCCATCACCAACTCCCGGAGTTTACCCAAACTCATGTCCTTTGAGTCGGTGATGCCATCCAACCATCTCATCCTCTGTTGTCCCCTTCTCCTCCTGCCGTCAGTCTTTCTCAGCATCAGGGTCTTTTCAAATGAGTCAGCTGTTTGCATGAGGTGGCCAAAGTATTGGAGTTTCAGCTTCAACATCAGTCCTTCCAGTGAACACCCAGGACTGATCTCCTTTAGGATGGACTGGTTGGATCTCCTTGCAGTCCAAGGGACTCTCAAGAGTCTTCTCCAGCACTGCAGTTCAAAAGCATCAATTCTTCGGTGCTCAGCTTTCTTTATGGTCCAACTCTCGCATCCATACATGACCACTGGAAAACCATAGCCTTGACCAGCAGTCTTAATCAGTGGTTTTAGCATCATTTGATGGGGCTTGCTTGCATTTATTATTTTTAAGGCATTTGCAGAATTGACTTGGGTTTTACAGGAGACTGAGGAGGACAGGGTGGAAGCACAGAGGGACCAGGTAGGAGGCTGCTGCAGGCGTCCTGGCAGGAGCTGATGATGGCTTGGCGCAGTAGAGTGGCAGAAGCAGAGGTGGAGAAAACTGATCGGGTCTGCGTCTCTTCTGAAGAATGAGCAGAATTAGAAAAGGGGATGTGACAAAAAAGAGAATAGCCAAAGATTTTAGCCTAAACAACTGAAAGGATGAAGCTGCCATTTATTGGAATGACAAGAGCAGGTTTGAGAAGAGAGACCAAGGAGTTAATCTTGTACATGTCCCATTTCTTTTGTGGATTACAGAGCTTGTCTTTACCTGAAGCTACATCTTCAGGTAAAATGTCCTTTCAGCTTGAAGGTTCTTTTTGTACTTATTAATGATCTGCATGCATGCATGCTAAGTCATTTCAGTCGTGTCTGACTCTTTACGACCCTATGGACTGTAGCCTACCAGACTCCTCTGTCCATGGGATTCTCCAGGCAAGAACACTGGAGTGGGTTGCCATGTCCTCCTCTGTTAGTGGTTTGCTCCTCTCCAAAGAGCAAAAGAATACCATGTGCAGAGTGCAAGTTAACAGTTGCAGAAGCAGCAAAATCAGTGTTGTCTTGGAGGACCAGGGTCATGGAAGAGCCGTCTTCTCGGGCAGGTCTCCTTCCTGGGACATAGCCAAGGCTGCAGGCCTAGAATTGCTCTCAAGACTCAGCGTTGGCTTTTGGCATTAGTGGTTGACACTGCCTGTCCTGTTAACGAGTACCAGGTCACTGTCAGAAACCTTGTTTGTTGGCCCCAAAGAATTGTCTCCATTTTCCTCTGTTGAAGCATTGCCAAGGTATTGCCAGCTCACAGTTTCTTGGTAGGGATCCCTCACAAGGTGATGCACAAATGGTGGTGAACAGGTGATTGTGGATATGCAATTGAGTTATCATTGCTAAAGATGCTATTTTTATGACTTTTGACTTAGAGGGTTTATGATTTTATTTGATTGAACCCAAAGGATCCATTCAGATCAAATCACAAACTGAAAAGCTTTTGCCAAGTTTCATCTTAAAATGCAAACTTTGTTCTTTTCAGGAATCTAAAGATGAAATAAAGCTTTCCTAAAACCACTAAATATGTTGAGAACCATCTAGGTTACACCAGTGGAATGGATGGGACTTCCCTGGTGGTGCAGTGGCTAAGGCTCCATGCTCCACATTGCAGGGGGCCCGAGTTCGATCCCTGCTCAGGGAATTAGATCCTACATGCCCCAGCTAAGACCCCAGAAAACCAAATAAATAAATAAAAACCCTAGTGGAGTGGATTTTCTTTAAGATAATTGACTTCTACTTTTCCATTGTCCCAACAGTGGCAGTGATTAAAATCAGCGCACAGGGCTCTATCTGTGTTTGCCTCCAGGTAGCGTAAACCCCAGCAACATTAATTAAACAATCACAGTCAAAAGGCAAGCCTTTCCTGGGGATCAGTAATCATCCAGAAGGAGCTAGTGATATAAGACCCAGCCGGTCACTAATCTTCAGGATATACCTGTTGCCACTGTCATCATTTTCATGAGAAGAAAAGATATGTTGACACGGTTGAACATCTTTTAGCAAATGATGAAGTTGTGATTGATATAGCCAAAAAACATACACCCCTCAGCTCCTAGCAGAGACTCCTGGGTCAGACATCATTCAGCTTGCTGTTTGGTTTACGGTAGTAATTTGGTCAGTCACCAAAGCCTAATAAGCTTTTGGACCTGGGGCGGCACCTCTGTGGGACTTCAGTGCCTCTTTAAACAAAGAATCAATTCTGTGTGGATGAAATACATATTCTGGCATTTTATATTCCATTTCAATGGGCAGTAGTTCTCAATGTGTGGTCTGCGTGTCCCTGAGACTCTTTCAGGGAAGTCAGAATATGTATTTTCAAATATAGTATCAATCAAAATATAAAATCAGAAATATTTTCATGATAGCACTAAAATGTTCTTTGCCATCTCAATCTCATTCTCTCAAGCGTAGGACAGTGAAGTTTTCCACATATGACATGATCAGTGATGACATCATCACTGTGACGGCTAACCAAAGGTGTGCCTGTGTGTGCTTGGGTTTTAACATTTTTCAGTATATGATTTTTGTAACTTCCTGGTGATTGTTACTATTTCAAAATAAAAAAGCTTTAAAAGTTTTAGTACAATAAATAGCAATAGGTAGAACTCACATAAAGAAAAGCACTTTGAAGTAAACAAGAGCACTTTGAGGTAGACAAAAGCGCTTAGTAATTCTTAAAATTACTAAGGAGTCCTCACACTGAAAAGATTATGAACTGCTACTACAGGATATGTAAATAAGATAAGAGTTTTCTTTCCTTTAGGAACTTGAAAGAAATTATTTAACCTTTATTTTATGTACTCTCCACCTTCCATTTCCTGATGGTCTCCTTACTCAGTAGCAAAGGGAAATGAACAAGAACTCTACCCAACAAATAAGATAGGTATTTGGGATAAGATGTCCAGTTTGTCTCGTTTACTTCATCACTGATAATTTTACCTGTGGGTCATGTAAAAGAGTTTCGGAAACCATAAAATTTCTATAAACTCCTTAAAGTCGCAGACTTAAAGCATGTGGCTGTGGTTTAAGAAAGATGAGCTGTCTAGAGGAGCACTCCCCTCAGCCTTGTCTTAAGAACAAAAGAAGAAAGTCACAGCTCATCTAGGAAAGAAACTTTATGTCTTTCAGTGCCTTTGAAGTTAAGCTGTTATGCTGCATTCTCCTGCAGTATTTTTGCACATATACAAGTATCTTTTTTTTTAATTGTCCAAAGATAACATTGTTTTACTAAAAAAGATTAGCATCCATCCATACTTTGATGTATTTTACAACTTTTTGCAGCCAGTTTTCTACTCCACCAGATACCCTAGATATGTAGATACTGCCAGATAGTCTCCTTTCCTTTCCTTTCCTTTGGAGAGAAATTGTAGGTCTGAGAAGATAACATTCCTGAAGATCCCCTGGAGAAGGAAAAGACAACTCAGTTCCAATATTCTGGCCTGGAGAATTCCACAGAGTCTATAGTCCATGGGATCACAAAGAGTCAGACAGGACTGAGCGACTTTCACTTTCACTTTCTGCAGTGGTGGCTGAAAGGTTATATCATAGAAAGGAAGAACTGGGCATTGCTCTGTCTATCTTTGCTTCCTGGGCAAACTTTCTGTATTAGACCTTCTGGCAGAATAGCATGGAATTCTAAAACAGCACACTGGCAGTGAAAAGGAGTCTGCCTCAAGTTGTGGCACTGCCTTCTCAGCTAACCTGTGGCAGGACCCCTCAGTCTTCCCTTCCCTGATGTCGTTAGCAACAGCAGTAGTCCTGTTTAGAGAACGGGCCAGGGATTGACTTGCTGGAAACCACCTCTTTAATACCTCATTTTTTAAAAATGTGTTCTCTCCAAATTTTTAATAGATCTGCTTTTTCCTGATGGTGCCTTTTGTCGTGAGGGCTCCTGCAGGCTCGCCTGAGTACCAGAACTGTCATGGGTGGGGGAGGGGGAGACTCACAGAGGGCACTGAGGCTGCTCTTCTTCCATCTGGTGAAGCATCTCACAGGGAGGAATGCAGCCTCCTGGCATAGAATGGGCCATTGCACAGACAATGCCAGGAGCTGGTTTTAAGAGAGCACTGTCAGGTGTCTGGCTTTTTAATTCTTCATGTCAGAAAGCTCGTAGGAGTTTAATACGCTCTGGACTTAAGCCTTTCCCATGTGAATTCTGACTATAGTTTTTCTCCCAGAACAAGCAAAGAGTTTAACGAAAGCCTACATTTTTTTGTCTGTCTGTCTTTTCCAATTTTTCTAAACTCCCCTGAAAAATGATAGGTAATGGGAATTTTTGGTATCGTATTGTGGAACACTTTGATGAATGGATTTCAAGGTCTTTTAACTTTATGATTTGTGAGTTGGACTGTACTAAAACATAAATGCTGAGCTGTCACCTCTAAAGCTCATTTTGGCCTGGGAGACTAGAGTTACAGTCTGCTGTAAACTCTTCAAGAATACCGGCCCCACCTGGGGAACCCCAACTGTATGGACCAGGTGGGGGGCTTGCACCATTGGTAATTCCTACTTTTCCTGAGCACTCTTGTAATGAGTTGGAGGGGCACAGCTGAGTGTCCTAAAACATTTATGTGTATTCAGAACGCGCATGTTAACATTCAGCTTTTATGTTTTTGTCCTTTCTTTACCTTTCCTCACAATGTCATAGGGTGATATCCATGAGGATTTTTGCAGTGTTTGCAGAAAAAGTGGCCAGTTGCTGATGTGCGACACTTGTTCCCGTGTATATCATCTGGACTGCTTAGACCCTCCTCTGAAAACGATTCCCAAGGGCATGTGGATCTGTCCCAGATGTCAGGACCAGGTACTGTGGGGTGGGTCAGAGAGAACGAGGGATGGAGGAGGAGAAAGACCCCCCCCCATCTGGGGGAATGGCTCGGTCTCTCCCCACTCCAGTAGTTCTCCAGACCACGTCTGCCATACTCACAGGACAGCCCTCACCTGCAGAGCCCCATCCTCTCAGAGGTCCTCAGTTCATGAGGCAGCGACTCATGTAAGGTGGAGAGGCCCTGACTGCTTCTCTCTGTTTGAAATGACGTATCTTTTCATTACCATTACCCTTCAAAGCCCACAGTGCTGTCTGCCGCATCCTCTAAAAATGGTCCAAACTCAGCATACGGCTGAATGTCTGGGAAGGAAATCCTTAAAGGAGAATGTGCAGTTGATGGTTTAATTCAAATGAGAACAGTTTTACTTTTAACCTGAGTTCTCGTCAGGATCAGAGCACTGACTATATAAAGTACTGTCTTAATATTTGATGCACTTGAAAGAAGAGAAACTGTGTTCCATCCCTCTCCTTTCTGTTTAGTTTCTGATTTTTTTTCCCTCAATGATTCATATATATCTTTATGTTTTTATGATAAGCTGTCCTGAGACCTTTTTGAATGTAGGCAAGTGTATAAATAGTAAATAAGCCCAGTACTCAGCAAGCTTTAGGAGCCCTGCTCAATTCTTTGGAATCCTGATTCGGGAGACTTCTGGTCTCCCCCTTTAAATCTTTAGTCTTCGTCCTTACTGTCTCTGTGATGTAGTAGAGACAGTCCTTGTACTGATGCTGCTTTGTGACCCTCTGATAATTTTCTCCATGGGGTCTAGATTATACTTCAGTGTTTGGGGTTGATATTTAATTTCCTTGATCAGGCTGTCTTTGAGGGACATATAAGCTGAAATTGAGATAGGCAGCGCGTGTCAGGTCAAGGATGAACCTGCCCATGGTTCTGCCATCATGCAGATGTGCAGCTTGTGTGATCATGGTTCTGGCCATGGGGCGTGGCTGAGGGTCACGCAGCAGGTCTGAGAAGTTGGGGACGCCCAGCCCAGCCCCTGCCCGTTCCTCCACCGGGGCTCAGGTGGCTCGGCTCTTCCTGCCGTTGACCGTTACTTTCTCATGCTGGTAAACTGGAGCTCCGTAGTCCGGAAACTACAGCCATGGTTCTGCCAGACTGCCGCCACAAACCCTTCCTGGATCTTGTCTGCCGATAGCGACAGACGCTGTTGCTTCTTGTTACACAGCGGGGTATGCTTATTCTTCTTTCTCAAGGATAAACTTCTGAAAATCTTTTCAGATGCTGAAGAAGGAAGAAGCAATTCCATGGCCTGGAACTTTAGCAATTGTTCATTCCTATATTGCCTACAAAGCAGGTAAAGAATTATTACTGCCTTTTGAATGAGCCTGCCTTTGTTTAAAAGTACTGACAGTGTTTGTTTTGTTTTCAAAAGGAACTTTAAAGTTACACATGAAAAGCTTTTATTGAATGAAATAAAAAAAGTTGGTTGTAGTACTTTGTTGGGGAGGAAAACTGAGAAGTGAGATCTGTTTATGTAATGCCAGGCCCAAGCCACTGACAGTCTTCTTAGCGTCCTTTTACATGTAGAACAGAAAGTCCAGGTGAGCAGGTTCTGTGCTCTGATGGCACATGGGACTAAGTTCCTTTTTTTTTTTTTTCTTCCCAGCAAAAGAAGAAGAGAAACAGAAATTACTTAAATGGAGTTCAGATTTAAAACAAGAACGAGAACAACTAGAGCAGAAGGTGAAACAGCTCAGCAATTCTATAAGTGTAAGTCAGCCTCATGCCTTCAGTATCGGGTACAGAGATGCAGAACTTCACATGTACATCAGAGGACGTGTGGCTGTCATGGGCTGATGCATTCCTTCAGCGTATTGACACTGCTGCCTTGGGCGGTTGCAGTTTGCCTCCAGTCAGAGTCTGGTCCTCAGGTACAGGGGGCCAGTTGGTACATGATTCCTGAGCCAAGCTCTGGAGCATCCTCTTGGCTTTGATCTGAGAGATTATCAGTCTCCAGATTTTCTCTGCTACTTGAAGAGGTCAAGTAGCAGCTACAGGAGCATAGCCAGCACCCCCGTGAGCTCCTGAGCGTGTTGGGAAGAGTGTAGAGCCGCCTGAACAGACCAGGTCCCCATGTGTGACTCTACCCAGTCGCTCTAGCTAGCTAGTGGGCCCATGGGGAGGGCCTTCCCTCCTGTCCCCTCTCCCACGCCCTGCTGATCGCCTCTCTAGGGTCCCTGGCGCAGCCCAAGAAGGAGTGCTTTCTGGAGATGAGTACTGGAATTAAACACCGCCCAGCCTGGCTGACCAGGTGGGAAGGAGGGCTGTGTTTGCTGCAGGGATTCAGAGGCTCCTCCTGACTGGAGCAGGCTTTCTTTCCCACTGAGTAGGTCCCTTTTCCACTGAGTAGTTCCCCTTGTTGCAGTGAGGTGGCCCCAACTCTCATGGACGCCAGGTGGTACCCTGGACTTGGTGGCAGTCTTGCTGTCCTTCCTCATTTTACTGCCCATTGTGGCTGGCAGGTTTCACATCACTTTCCCTGCATAGAACAGAAGCCAGCAGGTGTGGGAGGCCTCATCAGTTCAGTTCAGTTCAGTCGCTCAGTCGTGTCCAACTCTTTGTGCCCCATGAACTGCAGCACACCGGGCCTCCCTGTCCATCACCGATTCCCGGAGTTTACCCAGACTTATGTCCGCTGAGTTGGTGATGCTGCCATCCAACCATCTCATCCTCTGTCGTCCCCTTCTCCTCCTGCCCTCATACACCATGGCCAAAGGCTACCTGTCCATGACAGAGTAGAAGGCCTTCTCTTGGCTGCAGTCTGTGAGTCTCCTAAATATCACTGACTATCCCGCCTTAGGGCCCTGCCTCTAAAATCCTGCTGTCCCAGTGGCCTTCAGTAGGTCCTCAAACTGAATCCAGATACCACTGGCTTGTGTCTTATCCTGGAAAACTCAGCCCAGTCCTGGAGCCTATCAGCATATTAGCAAGGTAGAAGCATACCCAGACCTGCTCAAACCAGCTTCAGCTCAGCTGTGAGAGCCTTTTTTTTTTTTTTTAAATGCTTTTTATTTTGCAGTATGATAGTGGTAATTCATGTTTGGCTGTAAATCCGAGTGTCAAGAAGTGGGCTTTGAAACCACTCACTTGCTCCCTCTCTCTCGCCTCTTGGGCCTCCTCCTCCCCTTGGGTAGCAGCACCCGCTCGAGGTGGAGCAGAACAAGGTATAGGGCTGCACCCTAGCCAACAGGGATTCTTGTGTCTGGAGAGGGCTGCCGGGCCTGTCAGGACAGCCAGAGGCTCAGTGCCACTGCCCTTCTCATTGGCTGCAGAAATGCATGGAAATGAAGAACACCATCCTGGCCCGGCAGAAGGAGATGCACAGCTCCCTGGAGAAGGTAAAACAGCTGATCCGCCTCATCCACGGCATCGACCTCTCCAAACCTGTAGACTCTGAGGCCACTGTGGGGGCCCTCTCCAACGGCCCGGACTGCACCCCCCCTGCCAACGCCAGCACCTCCACGCCGGCCCCCTCCCCACCCTCCTCCTCCTCCCAGAGCTGCACAGCGAACTGTAACCCGGGGGAAGAGACTAAATAACAGAGCCCCGCTAGGAGAAGCCACGAGATCCCGGCGGCAAGGAGAGCAGAACCCTGAAGACTCTAGCAAAGCCAAGCCGGGTTTCTTCTGGGAAGTACAGAATTCTTTTGGTTCTTTGGTTCCAGAGAGAGAGAAGATGCTTGTGCCAGGTGGCACCAGAGTTTGCCAATTGATCCTTCTTATTCTGTGTGTACATGCAAAGATTGGACCATGTTACATGAAATAGTGCCAGCTGGAGGTTCTTTGCCAGCACCATGCCAAGTGAAATAATATATTTACTCTCTCTATTATACACCAGTGTGTGCCTGCAGCAGCCTCCACAGCCACGAGGGTTTGTTTTTGTTTTGTCGGGTGGGAAGCAGGGCCGGGCGGAGGGAGGAGAGCAGGTTTCAGATCCTTATTTGCCGAGCCGTTCGTTTAGGTAGAGAAGACAAGTCCAAAGAGTGTGTGGGCTTTCCTGTTTCTAAACTCTCACTACTATAAAACCAAAAAGAGGAAATGGAGATTTCACCAACCCCAGTGCCCAGAGGAGGGGTGGGGGAGGGGATGGGAGGGAGCCGGGGTGGGAAAAGCATACCGAATAAGCAGTATTTCATAGTGTCTGGAGTGGGCACCGTGCCCGGAAAGATGGACACCAAGAACCAGCCTCCCGGTTCTTCTCCGGAGCACCCCGTTCCCAACTGTGGGCGCCCCCACGCTCCCCAAGTTCCTTCCCTGCTTTGGCAAATTGGTGCCATCCCCACGGGTGAGCTGGTTACCTTCCCTCTCCAGGAACAAGCAGAACCAGGCCTCAGGTGGCCCTTGCCCGGGGCAGGGAAGAAGGGTGTGTGTGTGTGTGTGTGTTGAGGAAGGAAAAACGGTGGATCAGTGATTTTACTTGAAAACAAGCTCCATCCCTTTTCTATATTTATAAGAAGAGAAGATCCTGAGCGAAGCAGCACGCGACCCAGGTGTGTGTGAATCGAATGGAGATGTTTCTTTTCTCTCTTTTTTTTTTTAAATTTTTGTTTTTGTTCTTTTTTTCTTTAAAAAAAAAAAGTTTTATTTTGTTGTTTATTTTACTTTTTTGGTAACAAAAACTAAAATAAGGAATAGAAAAGCTGTTTTTCAGGCTGACAGTCCAATTAAGGGTAGTCGAGACCTTGCATGGTAGAATAGGAATCATAGTGTCAGTGAGGTCCAGTGAGTCTGTGTGAGTCCTTGTGTCATCGTTCGGGGCACTGTTTTTTTATGCAAGGGCAAAAATCTTTGTATCTGGGGAAAAAAAACAAAACAACAACAACTTTTTTTTTTTAATTAAAAAGGAAAATAAAAGATATTGAGGTCTTCCTAGTGTTACTTAAATTAAGATCAAGGTAAGAAACATTGTAAAAAAAATTACAAAAGTGCTATTTGTTTCCTAAAAACAGTGATTTCTATTAAAAAGGTGTCAGAACTGGAGAAAATGCTGTGTAGTTATAATTTTTTAGCACAGAACCTGCTGATCATGATGACATTTTGCTGTGTTTGTGTCTCAAGACTGGTGGGCTAGTCCCCGTGATTTCTGTCCTCCAGACAGCTGCAGCCCTGAAAGGCAGGGGCAGAGCTCTCCTACCATCCTCCCTTCCTCGGAAAAGACTGTCTTCCCTGCTTGGTGCAGGGAGCGGGGCTCCCATTTCCGGAGCCCACATGGAGCGCGGATGGTGTCAGGGCCCTGCTCCTTGTCTCCTCGGGTTTTGCTGGAGCAAAAGGCTGGTGCCTAAATAAGATCCTTCCTTTGGTGCTGCTCTTGGTCTTTCAGCCACCAGCATTTCGAGTGCCTGGGGGACAGCTTTGAAGGGAGTGGCCAGTGAAGCTCACTGTTGCCCACACAGCCCAGCTTTGAAGGGTGCAGGGAGCAGGCTGGCTGCATCAGCCCTTGGTGCTTAGAGAGGACGAGGGAGTGAGATGTCTTGAGGGGACAGGGTGTCTCTGAGACGAGGGAGTCCCTGGGCGGCCTTTGTGTCTGCACGCCTTTGAAGAGAGGTCTGCATCTCCAGCCACTTTCTCTGCCTGCTGGCTCCAGGCACTGGCGATGGGAGTCTTACCCCACTTTGCCCACCCACAAGCTTCCTAGGTGACCTTTGGCTAGAACGCTGTGCTTGCCTTGGCTTGGCCTGTCGCCTTCTTGAGAAAACCAGGATTCTGAGAGGCTCAGACCATTTCTGTCATTTTTGCCTTGTGGGAAATAAATTTTTGTCACATGTGCACTCCTGCTGGAGACCTTTGCCCACGGCACACATCTGGCCCCAGGAGAGAGGCAGAGACTCTGTGCCCGGGCACTCCCAGAGCATCTCCCCCAAGTCTGCCCCGTGTCCAATAAGGGCCAGAGTATAGGAGGGGGCAGAAAGGGACCAGTCATCTCTCCCTCACCTAGTGCGGCCCAGAGAGACAGAGACGGACCCTGAAGGCGACTTGTCACAGAGCAGTCCTTTGCACGTAAAATGTGTCTCTTCTCTACCAACCGTTTTCGTTCCTCTTCCTGGGATGTTTGTTAGAAGAGGGGATGAGGAGGGGGCTGCACCGGCCTCTTGAGAGTCAGGGCGTGGCTGTAGGGTTGCCCAAGAGGGAAAGAAAGGCACTCCCTCTGCTCATGCAAAAACCAAGGTGCTATGTCTAGTCAGGGAGCGTTGGGAGATGCCTGGACTCGTTGGAGGAATGGTTGGCAGGGCTTCAGAGCCCAGAGGCGGGCTGTGTGCCCTGTCTTGGAGTCCTCCCATCGGACTTGTCTGGGCCCGGAAACAGGAGGTGGCCGCTTAATACCTGTCTTCTTGAAAGAAGAGGCCTTTGCTCAGGAAGGAGCCTCCGGGGATTCTCAGGGGTGGGTGGCCGGGCTAGGAACTGACACCAGGGTTTTGCAGGCTGCTGTGAGCAGGCATTCTCTGACCTTGCTTAGGGTTGGGGTGTGATTCTTCTCAAGTTCAGATGGAAGCCGTTGTGCTAGTCAGCTAGGATGACTGAGTGAAAAACTGCAGCCCTTCCCCCAAACCCACATTCTGGATTCAAATCCCCAAACTCCCCTCACTGCAGAGGGGAGGTCTAGTCACCTGTGTCCTCCTCCTCCACTGTCCTGCCAAGAGAAGAGCCTCCCCGTTCCTCCAGACCCGAGGGTCCGTGGGACCACCCGAGACACACCTTCATGACCGCCCCACCTCGCTCTTCCTCTCCGCTGCTTTTCCCCATGTCCGGATGTAGCCATGGACAGGCATGTCCAAGGGCAGCCGGCTTGTGGCCACTTCAGAGGCCAGGGGAGCGGCTGGTCAGGGACTGGGACTGATCCAGCTGCCCACTTGGGCTGGATCCAGAGGCCTCCTGTCAGGCCCGCAGCCATGGTGACGCGCCCTGGAGGCAGTGAGGTCATGTTGCTGCCATCTTCCCCGCTCACGTTCTTGCCAGTGTGGCCTGCAGCTCCCTTTTTCTTGCAGAGCCTGCTGGGTCTTGTCTCACTTGCTCTTGTCTCACCTCCGCTGAGCTAATCCAGAGTTCTGCTTGCTTCCTTCCTTACTGGGCCAGGGAGGCCCCGCTTGAGACAGCCCCTCACGGGCCTTAACCTGTGTGGGGCCTGTACCCTGGCCACGGCAGCCTCCGGCTGGCACCCAGGGCCCAGTGTCCCTGCTGGCCTGCTGTGTCCCTGTGGCTTCTTCACTCAGGCTCAACCGGGCGTGTGAGTGGGGCGCGCTTCCTCACCCCACGCCTCTCCCGTGAGGGCGACCGTGTTTCCAGCTCACTGCAGTCTCTGTGTGTGCGGTCGCCTCTCCAGCCATCTCTGCCACCTACTCCTGGGGCCAGCAGAGCCTTGTTGAGCTCTCATCCCGAACCACGACGACCCACACAGCACACTCATAGCAGTTTCCTCCCTACATTCCCTTTTAGGGTTTAGTCTTTCTCATTTATCCAAAGGGCTTAATTTAGGAGCTTAATAAAGGAGCCTTTACCCCAGGGGAAGAAGGCTTTTTGGTAGGAGGGAGAATGGGGGCCCAGGTACATCTTCCAGTCCCTGGGTTCTCCAGATTGCGTGGCTTTTGTTGGGTGGAGGTGACCTTGCTCTGTGTGAAAAAGAAGACCGTGGACCTCACCCCCACCCCTCAGCTGGGCACCCTTGGCAGGAAACGGGAGACCTGTTCTCTTGGGCTTAGAGCCGTCCTCAGTGTCAGCTCCTTTCCAGGAGGTGAAGGGTGACCCTCCCACCAGGGTAAAGGGGAAGAACTGGAGGGTTTTCCTGTTTAGAGAGCCCTGGTGGAGCTCCTGAAAATAGCCCTTGTCAAGGAAGAGCAGGGCTCACGTCTCTTCACTCTCCGCCCAGAGGCTCTTGTTCCGAGGACTCCACCAGCCCCACAGCAGCCTCTGGCCCCTGTCTCTCTCTCCGCTGTTGCTGGGTCCTCAGCCCAGGGTACGCTGCAGTCAGGCAGGACCGCCGGAGGTCAGTGAGCTCTGAGCAGAAAAGTGCCAGCCAGCTCCCAACCTGTCTCTTGTCCAAGCCCTTTGTGATTTCAGTCTTGGTAGAACTTGTATTTGGAGTTTTGTGCTTCAAAGTTTTTGTTTTTGTTTGTTTGAGTTTTGTTTTGAGGGGGTGGGGGGGATACAGAGCAGCTGATCAATTTGTATTTATTTATTTTAACATTTTACTAAATAAAGCCAAATAAAGCCTCTCAGACTCATGGTGTTGGGTTTGCGGCAGGGGAGGGTGGACAGGAGGCACACACTCCAGTCCCGGCCTCCAGGGGAGGGCCCCGTCCCTGGACTCCTGCCAGATCCAGCACCTCCCCAGGCTTACTGACTGGCTCCTGCCCCAAACCAAGAGGACCCTGGAAAGGAGCTGTTAAAATTTAACGGAAAAAGGGATGTTACGGTTGAGAGGATGTAGGAACCAGCCCCAAACCAGCTGGGGTTGAGGAACACTAGACCCACCCGACCAGCAGCAGCACATGGGGGCCCCAGGCCTCACCAGACAGGTGCCCCCCACAGCCCCTCCCTGGAGACCTTAAGTGAGCAGGGAGGGCGGGGAGGCGGCAGGGCTGCTCCTGCGGGCGGCAGGGAGTGTGTGTGAGAACCACGGCGAAGACGGCGGGTAGCCGCGAGGTCAGGCGGGGCCTCGGGGCTGCTGCAGGGCAGTGAGGTATTTGAGGGCAGCAGCCCCGTAGTGGCGGGACAAGTCCTGGTGGAACTCGTCCTTGAGGGCCCGGAGGCAGTCACGGTAGGTGGGGTTGGAGCGGAAGCGAGTGATGTCAAGGCTTGGGGTGTGCGGCAGGTGGATGGTGAAGGCCTCGGGCAGCACCAGGAGCTCGTATTCCTGGGGAGGGCGGGGGACAGGCACTGTGTAGGCTGGGGGAGCGTGGCAGCTCTGGGGCATGGGGAGCAGATTCATCCAAAGTCAGAGACCTGAGTTCTACAGAGGGCCCTTCATGGTATGGTGTGCCACTGGATAGTGAGGTCCTTGGGCCTGCTGTTTAGTCGCTAAGTCACGTCTGACTCTTTTTGTGAACCCACAGACTGGAGCCCGCCGGGCTCCTCTGTCCATGGGACTTCCCAGGCAAGAACACTGGAGTGGGTTGCCCCTTCCTGCTCCAGGGGAATGTTCCCAACTCGGGGATCGGACCTGTGTCTCCTGTACTGGCAGGTGGGTTTCTTTCCTCTGAGCCACCCGGGGCAACCCTCGCTGGGCCTCGAGGTATTCTCAGATCAAGGCTGGAGACAGCAGGGCGGCCCTCACCTGTGCGTCCAGCTCTATGATGTGGGCCACCTTGTTCCAGCCAAAGCCCACGAAGCGGGGATCGTAGCGGGGACAGTCACGTGGCACCACCACGTAGGGCTCGTAGTCAGCTGCCCACTGCACTCGGTATGGGGCCTGAGCCTCCCGCCAGCGGGTGTAGTCTGTGGGCGCATGGCCCTGGGGCCACTCATGGTACCTGTGCCGGGGCAGGGTAGGGCGGGGGACCAGTCTGAGGCTGATGGGGGTCGGCGTGGGGAACTGCAGCGCTGGGCGGGGCTAGGCCAGTGGCCTCTCCCACCTGAAAGTGTAGAGAGACCCGGCGTCCAGCAAGGTCAGCAGTTCGGCTTTGGAACTGGGAAAGCGGAAGCGGTAGTGCAGGGTCTCGAATGCAGGCACCACCAGGGCCGCCTTCCGCCTGCCGCCCAGCTCCAGCTGCTCGATGGAGGCCCTGAGGAGGGAGCACGCCGTGAACCGCAGAGAAATGGGGGGGCTCTGCCTCCAGCCCTGGGCCTGGGGGTTCTCGGGGGCCAGCACACCCTGCGGCGCGGACGCTGCAGGTCAGGAAGGAGCAGGGGTGCCCCGCCAGGGCCCACGGGTGCCCCCGACCCTGTCCACACCCGCCCGGCCCACCTGAGGTAGTCATAGAGGGAGTGGGCGGGCAGGAAGTCGATGTCGCTGAGGAAGACATAGGGCGTGAGCACCTGGGCCAGGGCCACGTTGCGGAGCTGGTTGATGGGGTAGAGGGAGCCCTCCCGGTACACCACGTGGTAGGCCACGTCCTGCCGGGCAGAGAGCACCGCCGAGGTCTCCATGAAACGCAGGAACTGCTGGGCCTCTGCGTCTGTCAGGTACAAGGCCAGGCTCATGGGGCCCGGCCAGTGCCTGCACAGGGCTTCCAGCATCTGCAGCCTGGGGTGAGGGGGGTGGTCAGTCCAGGGGAGGGCTGGGCTGCCTCCCGCACGTGCGGACAGCCCCCTCCAGTGGCTTGCTGAGCCCCTTCCAAGCACTCTGCGAACTGTTATTTCATCTTCACAGCCAGCCCACAAGATGGGTACTTTCTCATTTGACAGATGAGAAAACTGAGGGCCAGAGATACTAAGCTTTGCCCAAGGTTCCACAGCTACGGAGGGCAGTTTCCGAACAGTGGGTGATCCCCCACAGCCCGAGCTCCTTCTACCGTCTCTCCAGTGTCTCCAGCTCCTGGAACTCCTCAAGCATCAGGCAGTAAGAGCTCTCCCTTCCACCAAGTGGAACCCTCCTTTTGAAACTCCCAGACCGCGCACCGTGCCCCCTGGGGCTGCCCTTGGCTCCCTCACCGCTCCATGGAGAGCTGGGCCACCAGGGTGACGTCGTGGGGCTGGGCGGGTGGCGGCTTGTGCGGCAGGAAGGTGATGTGCACACGGTGCACGGTGAGCCGCTGCTGCCGGAACTCAAAGCAGGTGTCCTGCTCCTCCAGTTGTGCCAGGGCCTGCTGCAGCTGGGGGGTCGTTGCAGAGAGGAGGACGGGCTGGGTGGGCAAGCAGACAAGCCCCAGACAAGGCCAGGTTCCACTGGAGCAGGAGGGAGGGGGTGCAGAGCCTCCCCGAGGAAAGGGAAGGGAAGGTGACTCCCTCTCACCTGCTCGGCCCCAGGAGGGGGCGGGCAGGGGCACCCAAAGAGCTCTCTCCGCAGCAGGTTGCCATCATACTCCAGGAAAGTCAGGTAGAGGTTGCGGAAGGATTCCACGTGCTTGTTCTTCACGCGAAGCTTCTTTGGTGAGTTCCAGTGGATCACCTGGGATCAGGGAGGGCATGGGAGGGGGTGGGGGGGACGGGAGCTGGGAGCAGGAATCCGCATGGGAGCCCACTGCCACCTCTCAGCGCCCCCACCCAGCTCACCTTGAGGTCAGACGCCTCAGAGTAGCAGCGCTCAGCCAGCGTGTGGTCTGACAGCTGCACGTTCCATATGCAGGGCAGGGGCTGCACCAGCCACGGGTGCTCCTTGATGACGGCGTTGAAGATGTCCTGGGCAGGGACAGTCGCTGTCACAGCTCGGCCCAGAGCCCGCCCCCACCGCCCTCCGGTGCCCCCAGACCTGGTCGGCCAGCGAGGTGGCAGGCAGGGTGAGGAGCTCCCGCGTGGCCGTCAGCTTCCACATCTGCTCCCAGCCAGCCTGCCGAAGCCGGTCCAGCCGTAGGAGTATCACGCCTGCTCAGGGGGGAGAGGCTGTCATGCCCACCTGGGATGACCAGCTCCTGGGGCCAAGGCGCCTGAAGGTGTCTTCCAAATGCTTGTTTTTGTGCAGTGTTCATATTTTCTGACTGCTCAGACATGAGTGTGGACTAGCTGTGTCCACAACTAACCCTCTTCGGGGTGAAGGGGAGGCAAAGCACAGTTTACAAAGCACCCCCACAACCATCTTCTTAGATTCAGTGATCCCAGGGCTGGGGAAATCATCCCCATTTAATGGATGAGAAAACTGAGGCTCAGCGGAATCAAGTGACTTGGCCAAAGGCATCTAGCATCAGTAGCCCAGGTGGGAACTGTGATTTTTGGCTCTTCTCCCAGTGTTCTTTCTACAGAACAGTTCTTGGGGGCCTCCCAAACATTCTATGCCCTAACCAGCCCCAGGGACCCAAGGATCAGTGGCTGCCCTCCTGCCTCTCCCCGCAACCCCCACACTGTCCCCACCTGTGTTAAATCCCCGGCCCAAGGCAGGCCAGGGCCTGTGATTCCTCCAAAGGTTGCCGAGGTACCAGTCGCTTTGGTTCTCCACGAGACCAATCGCTTGCTTGTCTGGGAGGGAGGGCACGAGGGAGCTGTCTAAGGCTGCCACTGGACCTCAGCTCAGGGCTAGGCCACAGGGAGGCCTGGATGGGCCAGGGAAGGGGGCTGACTGGGTTGGGGTCCCAGACCTCTCACCAGAAAAGTGAGCAAAGAGTGCCCAGAGTTCTGCAATGTCGGAGGCAAAGGTGACATCTGTGTCCAGGACAATGACACGGGCCAGGTCGGGGGGTAGGGCACTGGGCAGCACTAGCTTCATTAGCCCATAGAGGCCAGAGTAGTGCTTGTTGGGGATCCAGGAGACCTGGGGCTGTGGGTGGAAGCACAGGGCGTGAGCCCGCAAGAGAAGGGCTTACCAGTGTCAGAACATACTCGAGGTGACGTACCCAGGAGGGTGAAGGATTGGTGCTTCAGTAGATGTGATGGGACTGGGTCCCAGACAGCTCTAACCTGCCCTCCCACTGATCCCCCCAACCCTGGGAGGAACGAGGCAGGCAGAAGGGCTGGGGCTCCTGCCTTGAGCTCGTCAGCATTGTAGAAGCTGATCTGGACAGCAGGCACCATCCATGTGTGAAAGAGCATCTCCAGGATGTTCCTGGCCACAGCATCGGTCACCAGGTGAAGGTGCAGTGGATTTTTCCTTCAGGAAGAACAAGGGAGGAAAGCTGATGGGCCCCAGAAGGAACTACAAGGGACGTGAGCCCTGCCCCGAGGGGCTCGGAAGTGGAAGCACCGATTGCTGTCACGAGCTCCTCCCTGCCCAGTTCAGGGTATTCTCACAGCCTCCTTCCAGGGAGGAAAGGGACACTCCTGGCTGTACCTATAGAACAGCAGGGACTTCACCAGGGTGACGACATCTCTGCTGGAGTCATGTCCTGCACAGACGATGGCCACCTGCAAGAGCTGGGGAGGGGACAGCAGGTCAGTGGACTCCAGACGGGAAGGACCTGGGGTTGGGTTGACCCGGCCTAGGGCAGTGTAGCCCCACCTGGCATCGGAGCTAGGCCGGAGTGTGGAGGGGGGGGCTCCATGGAGCTGGGGTACACCCCCCTCATTTCCCAAATGGGGAGACTGGGGCCAGGAGAAGGGCAGGTGTGAACCCGAGGCGCCCCCGGCTGGCTGGTCAGTGTCAGAGCCGACACCAGGTGTTGGGATTCCCACAGGTGTCCAGGTCCCTCGGCTTGGGGGCGCGGGGGGACCCTGGTATTCCCGCCGCCAGGGGCTATGCGCACCTACCTACCTCGCACTTGGGCAGCGGCGGCGGCGGGATGCAGTCCGAGCGGTTGTGGCCCCCGGGGTCTGCCAGCGGGACTCCATCGAAGGCAGCGGCCCCCCGCGGCCGCAGCCGCCCGTCTGAAGGTACACGTGGCGTTGGCGAGCCGGGTACGGATCCCGGGTCACCCCCGCCACCCTCCCCGCGCCTCGCCTCCCGCTCGCCGCCTAGCTCACAGTCCGGGTCCCCGCCAAACAGGAAGAAGCCGATCAGTAGCAGGAGCAGCAGCAGCAACGCTGCTGCCCCCAGCGCCCGGGGGCGCCCTCGGAGCAGCATGGCTGCGGGCAGGGGTCCTCACGGCGGGGCGCGACCCCGGGCTATGGGCTCCATCACGGGCCCTGTGGACCAGGGAGAGGCAAAGTCAGCCCTGGGCGGCGGGGCCCGACGGCCACCCGGCGATGGCTACCCGGTCTTGTCTCCCGCCGTTGAGTCGCCACCTCACCTGCTCCAGGGGCGTGGGGTCCCCAACCTTACTCTCTCAGAAGCTGGCTGGGGTGCAGGAAAGGGGAGGTGGAGGCGCGGGCCAGCCCCAACCGAGCCGGGGCCAGCCCCAACCGAGCCGGAGCCAGCCCCGCCCCCAACCTGGGTTCAGGTTTCACCTCCGCTTGGCTGAGTCCGAAGGGGCGGGGAGACCCCCCCTGGGGGCAGGAGGAGGGGAGGGCTGACCCGCCCCGCTACCGGGAGCCTCTACACCGGGAAGGAAATGCGGGAACCCTCAGGGTGGCTGGAGGGCTCGGAGGCAGCCACCCGTGAAGGACCTGTCCAAAACTACCTGCTTTGAGCCCATCCCCCTGTTCCCTGCCCCGCGAACCTTCCCCTGCGGGAGGGGCAGGGTCCCCAGGCCTAGGATCAAAGGAATAGCCAGAATTAGGGAGAGGGGACTGGGCTGGAAGGAAGGGCCTGGCGGGGTGGGGGCTGGGGAGTGGGGTCGGGACACCTGCTCTGGGGGCGGAGGCGGGGCTTGCGGCCAAGACCCGCCCCGGAGCCGCGGAGCACCTGGAGTCCCAGCTTTCCTCCGGGTCTGCTGCACCCCCCACTCGGTGCAGGTGGCCTGGCGGCAGAAAACCGCCTTGTGAAGGTCGCCTTCCGCCCAGGAGCTGGCCAGGGGCCTCCTGGGCAGCGCCGGGAATCCCCAGCCCTTGCCTAGACCGTCGTGGTTGTGCCAGGCCCCGAGCCTGGATCTGTCTTCTCCCGCCCTGGAGGGATGGGGGCGGGGGGTGGGGTGTCCACTCCAGGCCGCCAACAGCCCATCACCGTTGATGGAGCCGGAGTGCCTGTCCTCTGCTCTAGGCCCTGTGCTGAGGTTCCCCAGCCTCGCAGCAATCAACCCTCAGTCAGTCCTGTGACGCGGGCTGGGTTCTCCCTGCAGAGCTGAAGTGACCTGTTAGAACACCCTCCAGAGGCTCTACCCGGCAGCCTGCCGCTCCTCCCTAAGGGTTTCCTGTCCCAGCACCTGCCCTTGAGGTTCCAGCTCCTGGATTCTATCAGATTCTCACAAGGTAGGCCTCTCCTTCCACATTCCTTGGTTTGTTGTTTTCCTCACTCTTCTCGCAAGGAGACCTCACTGACTTGTTTATAGCTTGTGTCTCCCCTGCAAGGTAGCTGCTCATCAGACTAGGCCTCTAGCATCCAACCAGGGCCTGTGAGTATGTGCTGAACACGGATGGGCCGCAGCATGACCTGGAAAGGAAGGGGTCCAGGCAGTGTCCTTCAGCCCAACTTCCAGCTGTAACAAGTGAGGGTCTGAGAGGCCCCCGCCCAGGAAGAAGTTGTGGCAGAGCAGCCCAGCCTGAGACCACACACCCCCCGCCTCGCCTCAAGTCTGCCTGCTCTGTGAGGCCAGGATGCCTTTCTCTGGGAAATGGGGGTTCTGCAAGGAAGGGCCGGCTTTGGGCCTTTGGAGGCCAGGGGCGGTGGTTACTAGGAGACTGATGCGGCTCCTCATACATCTGGGAATTGAGAGATGAAGGGAGGTAGAGCCCGCTGATGTGTCTGGAGCTTCGAACCTTCAGTCCCCCGAGCCTCATTCTAGCCTGGAGCTGGGATGAGTGTGAGTGAATCCCTCCCCAGGCCCCTCAGCAGAGACTGCGGGGGGGTAGATAGGGTACCCTGTGAGGGCCTGATCAGGAAGTCTGTGCAGGGAGCTGGGTCTGCAGAATGATGGTAGTCATTCACGGTACTGGCCCTACCCCTCACTCAAAGTATCACTCAGGGGGATATTGAGGTGCTGAGATCCCTGCTGGGCCTCCAAGAAATTCTTCTGGGGTGTGGAGGGAGAAAGGGAGATAGGCATGGGCATATGGAAAGACTGCTGGTCTTCTAGGCCAGAGACATTTGACCCAGCTCTACCCAGGACTTTTCTATGTGACCTTAGACCACCCAGGCCCCTTCTCTGGGCTTTGGTGTCCACCTCAGTATACCTGTTGGACTGGTCTAGCTGTCTTCCCTTTCGTTCGGGCCAGAGTGAAGGAGACAGGATCAGGTCCAACTTGCCCAAAGGCCCTTCAAAGTCCAGCCCAGGTGACCAAATTCAGGCAGGGGCCCAGGAGGGTGGGGCTGCCCTGGGTGCCTCCCATACACACGACCCTCTTTGTCTCTGGGACCTAATGAGGCACGAGATCTGGAGAGGAAATTCAGGCCACTATGCTGCTGCCAGCCTGGCTGAGCTCCTGATCCCTTCCTTGGCGTGAGGGAGGGGAGAGAAACAGCCTCCAGCCCCAGTGTCCCTTATAGTCTGTCCAAGGGTAAGGGGGGGGGGGGGCACGCTCCTCTGTCTCCCCTGCCCCTCTCCCTCCCCAGAAGCACAGGAACCACTAGCCCTGGGAATGCTACAGTCCCCTTCCTCACTCTCTCACTCTGCCTTCCACACTTCCCCTTCCTCACTCTGCGTCTCTAGCCTCAGATACAGGGGCAAGAGTGCTGCTGATAAGGTTTGGTGAACAAGTTCATTAAGACCGTGGGGAGGAAGGGAGGAAGGGAGGAAGGGAGGAAGAGCCCCACACCACATGCCCTGAGCCCTGGTCTTTAATCCCAGTTGCTACTTGATTCATAGACCAAGCAGCCTCAACAGTCGCTACTCTGGCTGAGCTGTGGGCAGTAGGAGAGAGGACCCTATCACAGGAGACCCTCGCTGTGGTCTCTTTGGCCAGTGCCATGCTGTGTGACCTAAGACAAGTCCCTTCCCCTCCTTGGGCCTCTTATTCCCCATCTGTGAAACGGAGTTCATACCAATCTGGCCAAGTTACTAGGAGGAGATAAGCATGAGTGAGCCTGGCACCCAGGAGGTGGTGAAAAATAATGTAGATGATGCCCATGGCCACCTCTTCTGTTCCCCAGGAGGTTTGCCACTCTTGAGGCCCTGGACACATCTCCCTGCGTCTTCATTCCCTGGCAGGGGCAGGGCGGGCAGTTAGATCCCCCATCTGAAAAAAAAAAAAAAAGAACACTAAGCTGGGGAGGAGATTTAGGGAGGCAGCTCAGAGATGGGTTGTGGTTTCTTGGTGAGGTGTGTTAAAATGCCTGGATTCTGTGGTCAGACTAGACCAGGATTCCAATCTTGACGGGGCGTTCTTAAGCGGATCCTTTCCTCTTGTGGAGATAATATCTGGTGGAGGGGATTAAGTAAAATACTGTACTATTCTCAGAGTACCATAAACCTGCTGCCCTGGTCCCAACGGCGCAGCCCCGTGGGCCCCAGCCTTGCCCCGCCCACTTGCCCACAGCCAATCGGCGGCCGCCTCTTCCCCGCTTCCGTTCCCTCCACCTCTGGCCGCTCCTCTCCCACAGTCCTTTCCTTCCAGAGAGGCTGCCCAGTTTGGGAAGAGATTCCCTGGAGAAGCTCTCATTTCTTGGGAAGCAGCTGAGAGCTGGAAGATGCACCGGAGGGCCAAAAAGCGCTGTGAAATTGACCCCGAGTTCAAGGAGCCCGTCTGCCCTCTAACCATTTTACAGATGGGGAAACCCGAGGCCCAGAGAAGGGAAAATCCTCATTAAGGTCACCCCGAGCGGAAAGCAGAAGCCCAGGCCAGGGTTTTCTCCGTGAAGATGGGAGTTCAGGTGCGCGATTTGGCGGGAGGGCGGGGGAAGGGAGGACATGCTCCGTGTGGGAGCCGGGGCACTAACGATGCTGGCCAGGGGGATCTTGACTGCGTGGGAGGCTGGACTCCTCGCTGCCTCAGTTTCCCCAGCACTACCTCTGGGAGAAGTCAGGAGACAAGGCAACGGGCCAGACGCGCGCCTGCACACAGTCCGATTGCCCTTAGGCTGTCCCCGCGCTCCCCACCCCCACCAAATCTGATGGAGGAGGCTCCTCTCTGGGCGCTGCCTCCCAGCCCTTTAAAAGCCAGTCCTCCCGTTCGAGCCTCTCGGCGTTCTATTGGAATGGCTCTTGATCCCTACTCCAGAGTTAACTGCTCAGGCTGCCGCGGGAGCTTTTTCCCGGAGCTGTAACTGCGCAGGTGCAAGGCAGCAAACCCGGAAGGCGGAAGAGCCGATTGGGGCCGCCGCGTCGGGGGCGGAGAGCGTGTGAACCAATGACCTGAAGGAGTTAGGGAGGGCGGGATTAGGCCCGCAGTTATTTAACGCTACCCTGGTGGGAGATGATTTAAGAAATGGGTGAAGGGTGCTTCAACGGCTCTTCCCGTCACCGTCCTTCTGGCCCGCGGAAGTTAAGCAGCACAGAGGCGGGCCTAGCGCCGGAAGCAGGAAGGAGGGCGCAGGAAGCAGGGCCCTGTAGCCAGTCGCGCTGTCGGTCCGTGGGTCTGTCGGTTCTGAGGGCAGGATGGAGAAGCTGCGGCTCCTGGGCCTCCGCTACCAGGAGTACGTGACTCGTCACCCGGCCGCCACGGCCCAGCTGGAGACGGCAGTGCGCGGCCTCAGTTACCTGCTGGCAGGTGCAACCCTGACCTTTGACCCATCCCTTCGGGTCTCTGACCCCACCTGCCTCCCCCCCTCCCCCTTCCCTGCGGAGCCTGAGCAGCGATCGCTGTGCCTGAGGCGTTCCTTCCAGGTTCCCGTTAGGGCACAGGGAGGGGACGTCCGGGGACCCGAAGCAGCTGAGAGAGGCAGACTCTCACCGGCGCCTCCTTCTGTGCCTTCTCCCCAGGTCGTTTCGCCGATTCGCACGAGCTGTCAGAGCTGGGTGAGCTGGGCTCTGGGGTGGGTTGGGGGCGAGAGGGTGGAGGAGGGCTTCCCAGAGGGCTTCCTAGATTTCCCGTTAGATCATCCAGTTCTGTGATTGAATTAGACAGGGGTCCAGCGTCCACGGTCCTAGGCCGTCGCGTATGCCCCCCTCCCCGCCATAGTTAAGAGAGATGTCTGGGGACCTTGCCTGGTCAGGAGGCTGAGCCAAGCGCCACTTCTGCCTTTGCTCCATTAGTCTTCCCTCCAGTCACGTGAAGCAGGTACTGTTATTGTCCTCCTTGTCCAGTTGAGGGAACAGAAGTTTAAATGAGGTTAAGGAACAGCCACCGAAGGCTTCAACCAGGATTCAAATCCCAGTCTCCCAAATTCCAGAATGCCCGACTGTAACTGCCTCAGTGGTATTTACCCAGTCAGTACAGCAGGCGCAGGTCCCGAAAGGATGAGCTGGGTTTTAAAAGGTAGGGATGGAATAGAATTTCAGTGACAGGCTGCAGAGAGAGCAAAGGCCAGGAGGTGACTGCACCTCCCATGTCTCTTTGGAGCATGCTGGGCAGTTCTGGTGGATATCCTGTGCTATTCAGCAGGGCAGTAGCTGGTATGTCACAGAGATCAAACCAGCCTTTCTTGTTCTAGCTGCTCACACAAGAGGTCGCTGGGGGCGGTGGAGAGCTCTAAGGAAGTGGGTGGTGAGACCTGTTGTTTCCACATAGTATGTGTGGGTGGCTGAGCGCTGCAGGTGATAGGTGATCCCTGCTGCTCTGGGGAGAAGTGGGGGGGTGGAGGCTGCAGGGCCAGCCTCTCAGGGCCACTCTCTGCCCTTCAGTGTACTCTGCCTCTAATCTGCTGGTGCTGCTCAATGACGGAATCCTACGCAAGGAACTTCGGAAAAAATTACCCGTGGTAAGAATTGTGCCAGGAACTGAGGGCCAGAAGCAGGGGGCTCAGGAACAAAACAGTAACCACTAACCCGGGTTTGGAGCACCTGTTACGGTCTCGTAGAGTACGAGGCATGGCTGCATCCATCTGTGCCTCTAGCCGTTAGGTGACAGTCCAGGTGTTAATGTCCCCTTATCAGATGAAGAGACTGGCTTTCACAGGGTAGAGTCGCCTGTCCCAGCAGGAGACCTCAGGCTTACGCACTTAATCTTGGGAAGAGGAACATCTAGCCCCCTGTCAGAAGTGTCCTCTGGGGGAGGGGCTGAAACCAGGGGGGCCTCCTGACCTCTTGGCCTGGGGTTCTTGCAGTCCCTGTCCCACCAGAAGCTGCTGACATGGCTGAGCGTGCTGGAGTGTGTGGAGGTCTTCATGGAGATGGGGGCCACCAAGGTGTGGGGCGAAGTAGGACGCTGGCTCGTCATCGCCCTCATCCAGCTGGCCAAGTATGTCGGGACCGTGGAGGGCCGGCCTGGGGTGGGGGTCACTGAGACCAGCTGTACCGACGGTATTCAGCAGAGCACCCCAGGCCCCTGCCGGCTAGCCTCCTCCCGCTTCCCCAGCCCTGCCGTACTCCCAACCCAGGGCTGTACTTCGGATGTTCCTGCTGATCTGGTTCAAGGCTGGCCTCCAGACCTCACCCCCCATCGTTCCGCTGGACAGGGAGACCCAGGCACAGTCCCAGGGTAAGTGCTTGCCCACTCTGGAGTGGAACGGGGCATGGGCTGATTGGTAGGTGAGAGCTGACCTACATGAATATGGCACTGTCACCCTGGAGCACATCTCTCCCCATCAACTCGTTTTGTCCTCATCAGCCCTTATTGGCATGTTAGAGAAGAGATAGAATGATGAGGTCAGAGGCCGATCAGAGCTTAAACTCAGGACTCCTGACGTCAGAGTCCTCAGTCATTTTTGTGGGCTGCAGGAAGAAGGGCAGAGCATCAGGAGGAAGCAGGGTCTTGCCAGCCTTGTCTCTGGGCCTGGCTCTGTATCGAGAGCACAGCCTCATAAGGCAGGGTACCCAGCAGGTGTACCGCTTTAGGGCTTCAGGCCCATCAGCTGTTGGCCTCTGGGTCTTACCCCCTTGGCTTTGAGTTGTGGGCAGGTCTTTGCTTCTGTTTTCATGATCATGTTGAAAGCAAAGCACACAGGAGATACGCCATCCCCCTCCTTCTTAAAAATTTTTGTTTATTGGCTGCACCACATGGCCTAAGGGATCTTAGTTCGCTGACCAGGGGTGGGACCCGCACCCCCTGCAGTGGAAGCATGGAGTCTTAACCACTGGACCACTGGGCAAGTCCAGATACAGCCCCTTCTGTGCTGTGGTCCCCATGGGCCACAGGTCCTCCTTCTTGTTCCAGTGCCTGGAAGGCCTTAGTTCTTAGCTGGTACATCTGCACAGGTGATGCTGGCCTTTCCCCAGGTCGGGAAGGGCTGCAGAATTCTCCCCGCTATAGACAGGTCCCAGGCACAGCCTCTGCAGTGGTGTCCTTGACTCTGCTGCTGCCTTAGTACCGGTTTATCCATCCTCCCCTTGGCCCATGAGCGTTCACTGCACATGCGTTCGCTTGTAGGCTCTGGTAGAAGTGTGTCCCTCTGACAATACGACCTTCTATCTATTCCTGCCAGATGGTGACAACAGCGCTGGCAGCCAGGAGCAGTCATATGTGGGGAAGCGGTCAAACCGGGTGGTGCGAACCCTCCAGAACAGTAAGTATGGGAGGCAGCTGGACAACACACCTCAGTGCTGAGGTCAGCGTGGGCCTGAGGGCCTGGCTTCCGTCACTGCCCCGGCCCTTGGGCCCAGCCGCTCACCTGCCGCCCTTGTGTTCTAGCTCCGTCCTTGCACTCAAGGCACTGGGGGGCCCCGCAGCAGCGCGAGGAGCTGGGTGTCACCCCCACCCCGCTGGGGCTGCAGGAGACCATCGCCGAGTCCTTGTATATCGCCCGGCCCCTGCTGCACTGTATCCTTAGCCCAGGCCTGGGTCGCGATAGATGGGGGCAGGCAGGGCGGGCCGTGTGCCAGAGACATCCTTAACGTCGTGGCCGGCAGTGCTCAGCCTGGGCCTCTGGGGTCAGCGGTCGTGGACACCCTGGCTCCTGTCTGGTGTCGTGGATGTGACCAGGTGAGCCGGGCCTGCCTGGGGGCCCCACTCCCTCTGTCCAGCTTTGTGCCACAGGCCCGGCCTCACCCGGGCAGGCAGGGTCCCTGTGCTCCTGTCGCTGGCCCAAACCTTGTCCCCTCCCCCAGCCTGAGCCTCCTGAGCGACAGGAAGGGCCTGACTCGGAGGGAGCGGCTGGAGCTGCGGCGCCGGACCATCCTGCTGCTCTACTACCTGCTGCGCTCCCCCTTCTACGACCGCTTCTCCGAGTAAGGACTGGCCCCGGCTTGGCAGGGCCCAACCTCCGCGGGGCAGAGTGGGGGAAGCGGGCCCGGCTCCCCACGCTCGTTCACTCCCTCCCTCCCCGATCTGGGTTCACTGAACACTTGCCGTGTGCTATTCTGGGTGTGACTTCCCTGGTGGCTCAGATGGCAAAGCATCTGCCTACACTGTGGGAGACCCAGGTTCGATCCCCGGGTTGGGAAGATCCTCTGGAGAAGGAAATGGCAGCCCACTCCAGTATTCTTGCTTGGAAAATCCCATGGACAGAGGAGCCTGGCAGGTTGCAGCCCATGGGGTCACAAAGAGTCGGACACGACTGAGCGACTTCACTTCACCCTGGGTGTGGTCACTCCTGATTTCTTGGGGCTATCTACCCAGTGTGCTGCTTAAACTGTTGGCAGGTGAGGGCAGGGCCCTGGGGACTGGGCGTGAACTTTCTCTGTCCTCAGCTTGCTTGCCCACTTTCCTAAAGAGTTGGGATATTCCCCACTTCTCACAGGAGACACGTAAGTTCAAAGAGCCTGGGCAGCTGAAATGAAGCCAGCCAGTGGCAGAGCCAGTTCCCACATCCATGGTCTCTCCTGGCCTGTCCCTTTTAGCCCAGCCCTCCATCCATCCCCTGAGAGGGTCCAGAGCTCCTAGCCACAGAGAGGCCTGCTGAGGGTGAGTCAGGGGTGACTGAGGTCACCTGAGGTCAGGTTGAGATTTGAGGAGGGGTCCCTATACTGCGACTGGGGCTGTGAGACAGGCTGGAGGCTCCCGGGACCTGCTCTGTCCAGGTCGCAACGAGTACACTGCTTAAAGACTGGAGTGACCATAGGGATTATACTTAGCATTCTGTACACACAACTTGTGTTAATTTTCTGAGTTGGTAGAAAGTAAGCTTAGGTCAGATTTAATAACCACCTCAGTGAAAGTAACTGCCTGGCAGTTTCTATTTTCAGATGAGTTTGAAATCTCATAAGGTTCTAAAGCCAAATACTTTCCCACACTCCAGAGAGAATGCTCTGGAGACTTTTGTGGATCGTGACCTTTGCCTACACTTGCACTCTACGGAGGAAAACTTGTAGCCCCAGCATTGCTCTGAATTGAGGATTAACTGATTGCAGAGGCAGCTTCCCAGGCTGTAGGCCTCCAGTCTGGCTCGTTTTCCTGCCGACCTGACCAGCCCAGACTGAGCAGTGGCCTTAGAGCAGTGGCCCAGACTGAGGAGGGCCCAGAGCCCAACCCCAGAGGACAGGGAGCAGGATGCCGAGGACCTCTGGAATGTAGTCTGGGAAGAGAGAATTTTCCTTCCCCCTTTTTATTGTTAGACAATATAATCTCTGGCACTGGGCTGCCTCCCAGTTGTGGGCTGCGGTGTGACCCTCCCAGGTCGTGTGGTTGGGGACAGCTGGACCAGAGCCCTTGGCCTTCTGTCCTCGAGGATGTCTCTGATCCACGTGGTGACTTTCTGGCTTCTGGGATGCACTGCCTTTAGTCAGGTGGTCAGCAGAGGTTTGCTGCTCCTGGATTTGCAGGAACCCAGACCCCCTACTCAGGCTACTCCTTCGTTGCAGGGCCAAGATCCTCTTTCTGCTCCAGCTCCTGGCAGACCACGTCCCAGGCATTGGTCTGGTCACAAGTAAGCGTGGGGTGAGGGCGTGATAATTAGTCACGGAGCTTATGTGTGGCCAGGCTTCCTGTATCCCCTTGTAATTTGACTCTTGGCACAGTTGGGAGAGGGAGCCATGAGGTCACCTTGGGTGGGTGAAGCTCCTTGAGTGACGCGACACCAGCTTCACTGGGTGGGGACCATATGGGGGAATGAAGCCTGCTGGCCATTTGGAGAGGCGCCTCAGCAGAGAGGCCCTGGGCCGGGGCTGTCCGCGTGGAAAGCGGGCCAGCTGTGTGACATCTCTGAGCTTGAAACTCTTTGTCTGTAAACACGGCCAAAGATGGCTGCTGATGCTGGCGGGGGAGGTGGGAGTGCGGGGGTCCGGCCAGGCGGACGGGAGCCTCAGGAGGGCCCTGGGAAGAACTGGGTTGGAGTCTGGCCCTCAGCCCTGAACTTGTTCCCCTCTGTCATTGCAGGGCCGCTCATGGATTACTTGCCCAACTGGCAGAAAATTTATTTCTACAGTTGGGGCTGATGGACATTCCGAAAGTGGGGTGTGGGGAGGGGCAGGGGGGGCCTCAGCCCATCATGTCCCCTGGGCCCCTCTGCCCTAATAAACCTGACTCTGGCAGCGTCTACGCCTGTGACTGCTCCATGCCCACCGCCCGGAGCGCGTCCGGCTCTCACACCCTGGCTGGGCTCCGCACACAGCCCTGGTCTCCACTAGAGCTCCCCTAATTCCCTCTCGACTCTGCATCCTGAGCACATGCCGCACCTCGTCATTGGCCGGGAAGCCCCTGCTAGGACTGGGACGTGGGCTTCCTGGAAAGCTGGAGTCCCACCTCACGAGCCCAGGAAGCTGTTTGCCACAGCAGCTGCGAGAGTAAATGCCGCTTCTCTCTCGTCGGTCCCTGTTGACGACCAACAAGGCTGAACCCAGGCAGTAGATGCCAGCTGCCCCTGTGTCTTCTGGCCCACGCCCTGCCGGAGCCTGATGCTTGGCAGCCACTCCGTGGTGGAGCCTGGTGCTGGTGGGCCTGCCTCAGTGCAGAGGGGCCCCTCAAGCCCTGACCTCTGCTCAAGGGCAGAAAGGCCTTTCTCCTGTGGGATGGGAACGTCGGGCCCCAGCCAGCGCTGCAGCCGACCCTGGGCAGCGGTAAGGTTGGCAGGACTGGGAGCGGCCAGGTGCGGGTTCATGGGGCACGAGCCGCCGTCTCCCCCGTGGTCTTCCTGGAGGCACCATGCAGGGATTGGGGCACGGCGGCTGCAGTCTTCCTGCCCGGCCTCCCCCTTCCCTCCGTCTCTGCTGCCTCTGTGCTGTGAGCAGCCCACATGCTCCGGCTGGAGCTTCTAGCCGGTCGGGCAGCCCCTCGGGTTCTGAGAACGCTCCATCAGCTCTCAGCTGCACCTCTGCTGCGCCCAGACACCCTGGGATGGGCCGGCTGTCCCCGACCGCTTTCCCCGTGTGCCTCTGAGGAGCCCCGTCTTGGTTCTGGGCCAGGGGGCGGAGGCCCTGAGCGGTCACCACTTGAGACCCCCTGCCTTGGGATGTCTGAACCAGCATGGCGGGGCATCTGTTACGGAGTGTGCTCTGGGCCCCGTGCTGTGCGTGGAAGTGAGTCAGGCCTGGCTCGCTGTGCCCCCCCTCAACAGTGGAGGAGACAGGTGTGTGGATGCCTCCGTGCGCCGGGCCGCTGCGGTAGGTGGAAGTGTGTGCGGGCCGTGGTCAGACTGCCTGCCTGTCCGCACCAGCCGGAGGGCACCCTGCTCGGGGAGCCCTCCGCTCAAGCCGGCTTCTAAACTGCTGAGACTTCATCTGTTTTCAGCAGGCAGACGGGAGGTGGAGGCTGTGTGCGCAAAAACACAGCACAAGTAGTTGTTGCAGCGGTGTGACGCCCCTGCTGTGCTGGAGCAGAGGCGCAGCTCGAGGGGGCGGGCAGGGCTGAAGCCACCAGGCCATCGCCTCCCAGGCAGGACCAGGGGTGGTCTGGCAAGGAATGTCTCGGAGGTGGTGGGGAGGGACCTGTTTGAAACCGCATCTCAGTGCCGGGGCAGGGGAGGAGGAAGGTGCAGCAGGACGCTGTGGGTGGAGGCCTATAGCTGTGGATAGGGCCAAGTTAAGGCGGTGGCAGGAGGGGTGGGGGGTAAGCCAACCAGGCCATGGGGACTGGTTGTGGATACAAAGGAAGAGGGTGGTGTCTTGGAGGCAAGGAAATGAGGGGTTTAGAGTCAGGAGGAGCCAGAGCGTCTGAACTTGTGGTTCCTGGTGGAGGGCAGGGAAAGGGGGAGGTTGGGCAGAGGATGCTAAGGCAGGGTTCTTGGGAGCCAGTTGTGTCTAGGGAGGGAGCCGGGTCCACACTGAGCTAACATGGGGCAGGCAGGAAGCAGAGGGCCACACAGACTTGCCGCAAGCCTGTGAAGACTCAGTCTCTGGCCGAGCGTCCCGCTCCATTTATTTGTTCATCAAGGATTTACTGAGCACCCAGCAGGCATCCAATACTGGATATCCTGTAGTCCCTTCCCTTGGGAAGCTTACACTCAAAGAGGCCCAGGTCCCAGGCTTTGCCAACTCAGCTGAAGTCCCTGTCAGCCTCGGAGGTGGACACAGGCCCGCCAAGTCCCTGGAGCCGTGCTAAGCTGCGGAGGGCAGTGTTGGGGGGGCCCTCAGCACGGGCTCTGTCCAGCGGGGCCTGGGTGGAGCAGGGCTCTCCAGCTGCAGGACCTTCCTGGGGCAAGTCAGTGTGGGAGGAAACGGGGTGGGAGAGGGAGGCTGGGTGAGCAGGGGAAATGCTGGGGCTCCGGGCTGTGGCTGTGACCTCTGCACAGGGCCTCCTGGGTGCCTGTCCCTGAGCAGGTTGTGTAGGGACCTTACCTCAGTGGTGAGGAAGCCTAGGCCTGCAGAGGGGAGGTGATGTTTCTGCCTGGCAAGAGGCGAGGTGGGGACCTGCACTATCTGTGCCCTCACCGGTGCGTCTAATAAAACAAGATGGGCTTGGCACCTGGCAGCCCACAGCCTCAGTATAAGCAGACCACAGGCCTCAGCACGGAGCTGCCCAGCCGGGCCCCGGAGCCACTGCTGACGCGGCGCCGTGGAGAGGGAGGCCTTTGTGAGGCGGCCCCGGGCGTGGGCAGCAGGTTCCGTCGTCCTGCACACCGGGGGGAGGGGCAGGCAGAAGCTGGGATCAGGGACCCTGCGGAAGATGGTTCTCACCATGCTGGGGGCTCTGCACCCCAGGGCCGGGCTGAGCCTCTTTGTCCTGTACGTCGTCCTGGCAGCCGCGCTTCTCCGCCCCCAGCCACTGAGGTAACTCCTGGGGGCCCGGGGCCAGCGGCCTGGAAGTGGGGGGTGCTCTGCGGGCCGGCCCCTCTGCGGTGTCGGGGTCCCCCACCCTCAGATGTTGCTCCCTGTTCTGGGAGGTGGTGGCTGCCCCCTGGCCAGCGCTGAGCACACCCCAACTTCTCCCGCAGGCCTCAGCGATCCGTTCCTGAGGAGTTTTCGGCCCCCCTGGAACTCTCGGAGCCGCTTTCCGGCCTGGTGGACGGTAGGCTCTCCCCTTCCTCTCCCCACCCCACTCCCTGATGGGGGCGCCGTGCCCTGGGAGCGGGCACCCAGCCAGCCTCGGGGCCTTCTCACCCCACACAGCCTGTGTCTGGGGAAGACTTCGGGGGAACATAGACACTCCCTGCCACTCACCCCCTCTTCTCTCTCTAGACTACGGCATCCGACCGAAACACCCGTGGCCTCGGGGGCCCCGACCCCTGCTCTCCCGGGCCCAGCAGCGCAAGCGAGATGGCCCTGACATGGCTGAGTACTACTATGACTCACGCCTGTGATGGGAACCCCTCATAAAACTATTCTGTGCAGCAAAAGTCTCGGGCTTTCCTGGGGTGGGAACGAGCCGGGTGAGGTTGGGGGGGTGGCGGTCCAAGTAGATGACACTCAGCTCTGTCCCGACAGGAAATGGCACTTTAATAGTTGAGGCCGGGGTCACAGGACCTGGATGGGGCTACAGCTGAAGCAGCCCAGAGGCCCTGGCTGGCTCGGGCCACGGCGGAGCCTCCTTTTCCTGCCGAGGCAGGGCCCCCGCTGCCGTGCTCTCCCCTCCCTGTGGGACCCCACACCTGCCAGGGGGCCAGCGTGCCGGTGGGAGCTGTCGGTCCAGAGGCCACGCCGGTGACAGAGCTGGGAACAAGGACGGTGCCCCCACCTGCGGTCGTTTCCTGACCAGAGTCCTCGGGAGGGGCTGAGCTCGGGGCCCCGGGGCTGGGGGTTGGGGGTGGGGCAGGGCTGGGGTGGGCACTTGCAGGTGGCATGGGCTTTGTCAAGGCAGGAGCCCATGGCCAGAGGCCCTGGCAGGGGAAGTGAGGGAGGCCCAAGATGAGACAGCCCTCTGCTGCTAGGACGGGCACCCTGTCCTGGCCAGAGGCTTCATCCTCCCCCCAGCCCCACGCCCTCCCAACCCCCGGGCAGCCTACACCGTCCTCCATAGGTGAATCTAACCCCATATATTACAATAGACTGCGTTTGCCTCTGCCCGTAACCCCGGCCCTCCCCCACCCTGGCCAGCAGCCCCCCGCCCCCCCTCCTCTGGCGGGGGCAGGTGCCCCCTCCAGCCGTGCCACGTCCTGTCAGCAGCCCGCTGTCCTGGCCCTGGCCCGGGGATGCCACCCTACTCCAGGTAGATGTCTTCTGTGGGGCAGGTGTACTCCACAAACTGCTTGTAGAACTGCTGGAACGCTCTCCTAGGAGGCAGGCAGACACCCAGGAGTCACCCGGCAGGGGCAGGATCTCCACCCGTGGTTTTCACCCGGAGCGTTGGGGTCCCTATTCCGGGCTCTGTTTTCCACCCCCGCCCCGGTCAGAGCTGCTCAGCTCTGTTCTCGACACGTGGTGCTTCCTGATTAAGACCGCAACTGAAGAAAGGGAAAGCCAGGACCGTAGGACCACCCAGCCCTCCCTCTGTGAGCTGAGGATGCTGTGCAGAGGCGCTGGGAGGACTGGGGGGTTGTTGCCGAGCCTGAGGTTGTGCTGGGGCCCTCAGGCCAGGGCTGGGAGCTCGGCAGGACGCACACACTCACCCCACAGATTCTGCCAGCGCTTTGGTGGATTCCTCAGACACAAAGACGTGGCAGGCAAACCGGTGGTCAGCAGGGTGCTTGGTAATGAACCCAAAGTACCTGCGGAGGGACAGCAGTCTGTCTGGGTGGGGTGCGGGCTCGGGCCCCTGGGGTGCACGCCAGGCCCCGGGCTGGACCGCAGGCACCCTGAGCCAGCACGCCTGCCTCCGCCCCGTTCCCCTCAGGTCTTACTTGTTGTTCTTTGGATGGTATCCGCAGAAAGAGATGTTTTTTAACTGGAAAAAGTGGCTACATTTATTCCCCTACAGGAGGGAGAAGAGAAGAGGGTGGTCGTCAGCCCGAGAGGACACAGGTTGGGAGTCTGGAGGGAGAACGGGGAGGGGGACACCGGGCTGTCACCTTGGCCTCCTGGGAGTCATCAGCCTTGACGCCGATCTTCACGCCCCGCACGCTGATCTCTAGGACGCAGCTGGAGGGCGGGTTAAAGTGCACGGTGAGCCGGCGGGTGGTGGCGATCTGTGGGTGCAGGACTGGACGTCAGGCCGGCGCCCCTCTCCCCAGGAGAGGCTGGGAGACAGGGCCGGGGGTGGGCGCCCTCCCCAGCGGAGCGGCTACCTTTTGCATAGCAGCACAGAGGACGTCATTGCCCTTGTGATAGGGGACCTGGACTGAGCCCAGGAACTTCACCCGGAACTGGTCCACCCAGTCGCTGTTTTTGGTCAGGGCTGGAAAGCAAGTGTGGAATGAGCAGCAAGCAGACCCACAGAAGGTCACCCCTGTCTCCCGGCTCCCCAGCACCCCCCAGGGTTGACCCTGCTGGGCTGGGGCTCACTTTTCTTGATTGTGAGATGGATCTGAAGCCGCTGCTGCCGGGCCCCCTCCCTGGGAGGCTGAGATCTGGAACATTGATCTGCCCAGGAGTGATGGGGGCGGGGCTGACATGGGGGCCCCAGGGCGCCAGGGCAGGGAAGGAACACTACCTGCCAAGTGTTCAGGCTCCTTGGTGACCTCAATGGCGTAGTAGGCAGGGAAGATGCCCCTGGCTCCCGTGCGCATGTTGTAGGCCTCGTACCAGTAGTCCTCGGCCTGCAGCTCCACCAGCAGAGGGTCGTCCACTTCCAGCTCGAGTTCGTCTTCATGTCGAGGCACAAACCTGTCCCCATCGAGGGCCCGTGAGGAATACACCACCTGGGCCCCTTCAACCAGACATCTGTTACCCCACCCTGCTCTGGGGTCGGGGAGCTACATTGACATCACTGGTTCAATAAACTTTTGCACAGCATCCCATGTGCCCATGACTCCTGGAGCCGGGAGGAGAGGACCGAGATCAATCAGACACACATCTGCCACCGAGGAAATCACAGCCAAGGGAGCAAGGCCACAGGTCAACTGAGAGAGGTCATGGTGGTAACAGTGTGAGTCACTCAGCTGTGTCTAAATCTTTGCGACTCCATAGACTGTGGCCCGCCAGGCTCCTGTGTCCATGGGATTCTCTAGGCAAGAATACTGGAATGGGTTGCCATGCCCTTCTCCAGAGGATCTTCCTGACCCAGGGATCGAACCTGGGTCTTTGGCATTGCAGGCAGATTCATTACTGTCTGAGCTACAGTGAAGTTCTAAGTGAGGGGTCATGGTTAGCGACTATTTCCACATGGGGTAGGGAGAGGGGCTGGTGGGTTTTAAAGTGTGGTTAGGGGTGTCTGCTGGGCACCCTCTTGGGCTCTGGCAGCAAACACATCATTCTGAGACCATTCACTCTGTGTCTGAACTCCAGGTTCCTAGAGAGTGGACACTGGCCTCCTGGGGCTGAGTGCAGGGGCTGATTTAGGCCACGTGGTGATGGTGGAGGCCAGGAGGGTGTGGCCAGCTCCTGCCTGCCCAACCCCGGCCCTCAGCTCTTTACCTGAATATGGCCCGGTGGGTCTGCTCCTGCTCTTCCCCGTTGATGATGCAGGAGAAGAGCCCAAAGGACTCCGCACCTGTAGGCGAGGGGGACAAGCTGGGAGAGGCTGGTCTGAGCCCGAATGCCTTGACTAGATGGACCTGGGGCCGCCTCCCGGGGACACCTCGCCCAGGTCCCTCCGCAGCTCCCTGCTGCCCACTCACTGGAGGAGCGAGAGCGGCCGCTCATGAAGACGTTCAGGAACTTCTTGGAGAAGTGGACGTCGGGTTCGTCGGGGGTGGAGTCCTCCGAGAGGCAGGCGGGGGGCCGCGGCCGGGGGGCCTCCTCGTACTCCTCCCCGATGGCCGACTCGTAGGGGGAGGAGGCAGAGGCGCAGTTGTCGTAGACAGTGGCCGAGTCGCTCTCGTCGCTGTAGTCGCCGAAGCACGGCCGCAGGCTCACAAGCTCCAGCTGCGCGTGCTCGTCCACCACCAGCGTATACTTGACCGAGTCGTAGGACAGGGCGCTGGTGTCCGAGCTCAGCGAGGCCCGCGGAGGCGGCGGCGGCTCCCCCAGGCTCCCGCGCCATCCTCCCGCGGGCGGCTCGGCCCGCTCTGGGGACGACAAGCAGTCGAAGCCCTCGTCCTCCTCGCTGATAGACGGGTGTGGCCGCCCGGCGCTGGCAGGGTAGGCGGCGGGGTCGGGGTCGGAGCTGACCGACATGCGGCTCTCGGCGGGCGGCAGGAAGGCGGAGGCGGGCTCCGCAGGATCCGGGGGCCTCTGCACCGGCGTCAGGTAGATCTCCTCGGTGGCCTCCAGCCGCACGTCCGCCTGGTAGTGGATGCGGTCTCGGTGCGAGTGGCTCCGGCCACCCGTGGGGGCGGCAGGGGGCCCACCGGGAGGCGCCATCTGCGTGGCGGCGCTGCGGCGGCAGGGGCTGTCCGTGGAGGTGCCTCGATCCTTGGTGGGCGCGGGGCTGCTGGGGGGCGGCAGCTCATCGCTCAAGCAGATGTGCTCATGCGGAGGCGTCTGCTCCCCTGGAGAGCAGGGGGGGAGGGGCTGAAGGCGGCGCCCTCACCGGCCCTTGGGCCACCGGGACACAGGCACCAAGGCAAGGGGGGCCTCCCCGCGGGGCCCCGGCAGGCTCCGGGGCTGTCACCGACCACGGCTGGGGTTCCGGCAAGGGTAAGGGTCCCCACTTACCTGTCTTCAGCGGCGAGGATGATCTCGACACCCGGTCCTGCCAACTGTGCTTCTTGCCCAGAGAGTTATTATTCAATGTGTCCTGTGCAGGGAACAAAAGGCCCTTGTGACAGAGGCGCTCCAGTGCCCGGCACAGGGAGGCCCCGGCCCCGTCCCGCCCCCACCCGGGCCAGCCCTAGCCCATTTGCTGCTGCCCCTGCCTCCCTACCACTTTGCCAAGGGCCTCAGCCCCCTGGCGCAGGCAGGAAGGGTGGCAAGTCACAGCCCTCCTCGCCAGGCCTGCTGACGCGGGACAGCCCACCCCCCGGCCCAGGGAAGCTGGCTGGGCCTCAGGGAGATGCTCTCAACGGCTTCAACGAAAGTGGCCGTGGCCAACATGAGTGGTGGTGAGTGGGGAGGGGAGCCAGAGCCATCCAGGGACAGAGCCAGACCCCAAGGTCTCAGACCTGGAGGGTTTACAGGGAAGAGGCTCACTCCCAGCCCAGCTCCCCTGGAGCCTGGGAAGCCATGGCCTAGGGAAGGGGCAGGGACGTGCTCATAGAGCCTGAAAGAGGCAGGAAGAAGGGTCTCCCTGGCAGCTGGCCTGGGGGACTGGGATGATTCATATAAACGATGGCTCCAGGATGCGGTTCCCCCACTCTCCTAGCCAGGAGCACATGACAGAAGAATGACAGATGTAATTGTCAGAGGCCCTCCTTCCTGGATCTCCTACCCCTGGGACCCCTCTCCACAATGCCTATATACAAGGCTTCCTACAGACACCTTAGGTCCCCTCCCCTGAGAACACTCTGGCAGGCTTGCACATTCATGAGTTTGGCTGCCAAAACCCACCAGAGAGGATCCTGGGAAAGGGACCGAGCCTCTATCTGCAGCCCCTGCACCCTCCATCCACAGCCCCAGCTCCCCGAGCTGCTCCTCTGAACCTCCCCAGACTGGGCCTGGGAGACAATGGTCCACGGCTGGCTCTCCCCCATCCCATTCAACCCTCCTTGGCATCCAGCCACCCAGCCCAGGGGCCCTAGGCCCCCAGCCCAGCCCAGCAGCTCCGCCTCCCATTTTCTTCCCAGCCTCCCGGGAATTCCCAGCTGCCCGAATTTCAAAGCAGCGGCTGCTCCCAGGCCACAACTCCTCACAACTTGCCCTGACTTTTCCCACGCGGCCACCTCACATGCCCTTTTCTCCAGGCCCTGCTTTTGCTCCACGTTCACCAGGAACCCCGACACCCTGGCAACCCCTGTTCTCTTAATCTCCTACTTGCCTCTCCAGCAGCATCATCCCCCTGCCCCTCTCAGCCCCTGCATTCCTTCCACGTCTCATCACGAGGATCCAAACCAGCCAGACCATTCGGCTCGTCTCACTTAGGGTGGATTCTGCTTGCCTTCAGCGATCACCTCTCTAGGGACCTTCCCCTCGGAAAGCTACGCCAAGCATCACCAGGCTGGAGACTTCGACTCTCGAAGCCCTACCCGCTCCGCGGCCCGCGCCGGGACCCTGAGGACACCTGCCGGAGCCCCGCCCCCTGGGCCCCGCCCCCGCCTCACCTGAGACCGCGGCACCTGCGGGAAGAGGTTCAGCGTGGTGGGTCGCTTGGGCCGGTACGTGTCTCCGCCTCCCGGGCCCTGGCCCTGGCCCTGCCCCTGGCTCTGGCCGCGGGGCGCCGTCTCCTGGCGGGGCTCGGCCTCGGGCGGCCCCGCTCCAGGCCTCCGCGCAGCGCGCTCCTCCTCCTCGTCGTCGTCCTCGGCGCCGGGAGTGTCCCCCGCCGCATCGATCAGGTCCATCTGCAGCATCTCGGCCTGCAGCCGGCTCCCCCCACCGCCGCCGCCGCCCGCGGAGAGCAGCGCGGCGCGTGGGGGCTGCGCGGCGCGAACGGAGGGGCGTCAGGGGGCCGGGCGGGGGTGGGGCCAGGAGGCCGAGCACCGCCCCCCACCTCCCTCCTCCCCACACCGGGCGCGGGCGAGCCCATTCCGAGGCCGCAAAGAGGGGGAGACGGGGAGAGCGGCAAGGAGGCCCGCGAGAGGGAGCCATGCCCTCCTGCCCCCTCGAGGACGCGCGAGGCCGCCTCCTCCTCCGCATGTCAGTCCTCACCTTTGGGAGTCCACACCGCTCCCCGCCCCCGCGGTCCCCCGCTTTCCGACTCTGCAACCCCCCTCGTTCCCTTGGCAACGGCCGGTAACCTCACCCGAGTAGTAAACCGAGCCCAGAGTGAGGTCACCGCTGTTGCCATGGGGACGGAGGGGTCGACGAGGAGTTCAGGGCCCCACAAGGGATGGAGATGGGGTTAGTTTTTGAAGCGGGCAGTAAGGAAAACTCAGGAAACAGTCTCAGCCCGGAGGGCCGCAGTGCGGACTGGAGGACCCGAGCGTAGCCGGAAGACGGATGCCGGGCGGGGAGGAGCAAGTGGCGAGCACCCGCCTGAGGCAGTGGCATCCACACCCTCCTCCGTCCTCAGGTTGAGGACCCTCCAAACTGAGGTCTTCTCTCAGACCAGCCTAACTTTGACAGTCCAGAGCTCCGTTCTAGTTCCAGGCCTGCCATTAATTCCCTGGCACCTTGGACAGATCCCCTGACTCTCCCAATTCCCTCAACAGTTAACTGCCTCCCAGCTTCCCAGAGAGGCGAGGATTTACTGGCAAGAAAACATGATAGCCCCCTGGAGCTTGGCTAAGGCCCCACAGGGTACACCTCGAGCTAGTACCGCCTCAGGCCCGCTGGTTGCAAAGACCACCCTCTCCAAGGCTCTGCTCCTACAAGTCAGCCAAGAGGATGGTGTGGGAGTCCCAAACTGATGAATGACCTTAAAGAAGCTGTATTAGTCCAGAATAAGTGGCCTCTGCCTCCATCCCCTCTAGGCCTGGCCAGAGGGTGGGGGCTTGGGGTCCAGCATACTGTAGGGTTTCCCCCACCCCCTGTTTCCTCTTGCCTGGAAGGGCTTACAGACTCTCTGGGGGTAAAAGGAGGTCAACACAGAGGCACCCCACCCCAACTCACACTGCAGCTCTCCTTTGCTTCCATTCTCCCAAAGCATGTCTACTCTGGCCACCCACCCTCCTGGGGGCTGAGAGAAACTCTGGGCTCTGCAACCTAGCTGCATGCCTGCTTCCCATCTCCTGGTCCATGGCCCCTTTTCCCTGTTCTGAAGAGACATGAGGGATCTCTGTCTGACTGGGTCTCCCCAGATGCTGGGGACCTCCCTCCAGGGAGAATTCAGACCTTTGGCAGCTGAGAGAGCCATTTGTCCTATGGCAAAGCCATGGGGGCCCAGAGCAGAAGAGCTGGATTAACCTTCCAGAGGGACCCTTAGGACAGTGGGCCAGAGGGGGTCCGCGACGCTGTGTGGTGTGTTCTGTGCAACGGTAGCCGAGGGAGTGCCCTGGCTCTTTTCTCCTGCCCCAAAGCACTGCAGATTCCACTGGACTCCACCCTGCACTGCCTCAGGCCCTCTGCCAAGGAAGCTTTGGAAAGGATTTAGGGTAGTCCTGAGCCTTCCCTTTATTCTGGGTCCTAATTGATACTATCTTAGGCCTCAAGACTTCCTGCTCTCTCCCTTCTTATGGGCAGTTGAAGGAGCTGTCTCCTGCCTTTGCCCCTGGCAAAATAAATAAATACATAATAAATTAAAAAATCTGAGCAGTCAAGATGTGCCAAGCATTGTCCTGCATGTTATTTCCTTAGATAGGAGTACCACACAGACCCCGAGAGCCCCTCTAGATACAGGGATACCCTCCCTCCTGACCCTACCCATCCTGCCCACCCCACCCTTACCCGTAAGGACAAGGTGTCTTTGCATTGCAGGCTGATGCCACATTCATCGGTGATCTCGGAGAGGTCTTCATCCTCAAACTCCTCCAGGCTGATGTCATGGGTGAGCCTGGTGGGGACAAGAAGCCAAAGTTACCACTCGGGACTGCTGGCGGTGGGCCGAGGACCCTGAGGCCTCCCCCATACCTCTTCAGAGGGGCGGCCCCTCGAAGACATATCACCAGGGGATGGGAACTGAGGTCTGCCTGCTTCAGTGCAAAGGGTTAGGGTAAGTTTGAGGCTCAGATCAAAAGGCAGGTCTCCAGCGTGGCAGCGGAAGGGAGGGCTCTGGGTCCCTCTAGCTCTACCCAGCTGGGAGCTGTCCACCCTGCTGTCAACCCAGAGGCTGTGCCTAGAAGGCCCAGCTGGTCAGAGCCTGGGCTCTGCCAAAGAAATGGCTCCCAGAGTCAAGGCATTGACTTGACTCCAGTTCACTCATGGAGGTGGCAAGAGCGTCGAGGAGCAACTCCAAGGGAGGCCAGAAGTGGGGGCTCCCTGTGCACCTAGGGGACAGAACCCAAGGTGCTGGCAGAGGCCCTGCCCCAGCTCGGAGGGGCGCTCCGTGTCCCCGGCCCAGGAGGTCCCGCGCCTCGGAAGCCCTGGGAGCAGGTGAAGGGGAACCCGGTGTCAATCTCGTTCCATCCAGTTCTAGGAACGACGGCGCCCCTATTCTGTGCTCTTGGTCTCATCAATTCGAACGCAAAATCCTCCTGCCTGGCATGTGGGCCCTGAACAGGAGGTTGCCCATAGCCGGACTGGCTTAAGCTGGAGGTGTGCTGGACTCAGGAGACCCCACCCAAAGCATGGGAACTCTAACTGGCTGTACTAGGACCCTCTCGCCCCCAGGCCTGCCCTGCGCCCCCCACCGCAGAGTGGAGGGCTGTGCCAGCCCCTACTCAGCCCCAGTCCTGGGTATCTGCCTGGTTTGGTGTGGGTGGGACAGTGGGAGAACTCTGTTAAGGAAATTGGGGAGAATTCTTCTTGGGGAGAATTCTTGGAGTCCTTTCCTCAAGAAGACCAGGAGAATGAGGCATAGAGAACGGAGACCCACTAGGCCAAGGTCATCCAGGAGAGGCGGTGGGCTCAGCCCCGGCCCGAGGAGGCCACACCCCCCGCCTCTGGCCTCCACCTGATCAGAGACCCGGAGCCCAGCGGAGCCGCCCCAGAGCTTCCCCCTCCCCCATGCCGGTCCCCAAACCCCTACCAGCGCTCCCACTGATCCTCCAACCAGCTGTCATTGTCTGGGCTCGAATCCATCTTCAGCACCAGCTGCATGGAGAGCCCTGCCCGGCCGGGGGGCTGAGGGGCCCCAGGGCCGTCCTCTCATGCCCAGAAGGGTGGGGGCGGGGGCCAGGGCTCGGGGCAGGGCTGGGGCCTCCGGCCTCCGCCGCCTGGGCCTGCCTTTCTGCGTCCAGCCCGCTGCAGAAGCCTGGGGAGCTCATTAAAAATAGATGGGCCGGGAGAGGAGGCAGCGGCTGGCTGCCGACCCCAGCTCTGCCCCGCCAGCCCTCAGCTGCAGGCAGCTTCCTCCCCCGGCCCTTCGCAGCCGCTGCTGTCGCGGCCGCCTACCCCGCGGGATCAGGTTACTGCAATCAATGCCGGGCTCCACCTGCCCTTCCAATGCCCCGATCCTGTCCGGGGCTGGGGTGGCCCCCCCTCCCTGGCCCAGGCTTGGACGCAGATGGCAGAAATCTGGGCTGTTTCCCCCCAAAAGCCAGCCCCGGATCTGCTTTTAAAGGGCCAGCAGCACAAGTAGGGCTCCTGGTGGTGAGGTGGGGGTGGGGGTGGGGGGGGCTGTGATTCCAAAATTCTCCACAAAGGGATGCTCAGCCCCCGCAGCTCATCAGGCATGTTTCCTAGACAGCGCTGCCTGGGGTGGGTCTAGGCGGCTTCTGTTGCCCACCTGGGTGCAGACAGAACCCGGCCCCCTTCCCCAGGGCTCTGTCCTTCCGTCCAGGAAGTGCCTGGAGGCAAAAGAGGCGCCAAGGCGGGGGCTAAGGGCGGGGCAGGAAGGGCAGCCTGGGGGCCCAAGCCTCCTGGCACCGCGTGGCGGCAGCAGCAGAAGCTGGAAGACCCCTGGAGGAGCGGCGTGGAGGGATTCTGACGGGCTGAGGTTCCCCGGGCTGGGGGAGGGCGTGGAGGTAGGGGCAGGCTGGGGAGGAAGCCAGGGCAGCCCTGCGTGGTCTGGCGCAGGGTGGCATCTCTGATCCTGGTCCGAGAACCCGTTTGCAGTGGTACTGATCTGGTGGGGAACACACACTGGCAGCCTGGCCCATCACGGAGAAGGCACCCCTGGACTCAGCAGGCACCAGGCGGCGGCAGGACCACTGGGTATCTAACCCAGATGTGCCTTCGGACGCCCCCTTGGGGGCCTGGGACCCCCGCACACATCTGCATGTTCTTGTCCTCACTGCCCAGCCTGGCCTAGCTCCTGCCTCTGCAGTCCCAGGCCTCCACCCTGGCCTGTCTGCCTCAGTTTCCCCATGCCTGCACATCGCTCTGCCCACACCCACCACGACCAGGCAGAGCTGTCCGAAGAAACACCACCCTCTGCTCGTGACTCCTCTTGCCAACTCTGTGTGTGATGGCCTATCTCTTGCATCTGCCTCCCAAGCGTCTAACCCAGTGCTTGGATGAAGTATGTGGCAGGCTCTCAACCTGTGCCTGCTGGGAGAAGGTTCGGTTAAGCCCCCTCCTCCAGGAAGCCCTCCTGGTCCCCGGTGTCAGCGCCTAACAGCCCTCTAGGCAGTGTTCACTGTGCGTGGAGGGAAGGCAGTGTGAAGGAGTGGAGGGAAAGAGAACTGTGTCAAGCACCCTTCCCGTCCTCTCAGGAGGCTCCAAAGTAGACAGAGCTCACACCCCACCCGCGCCCTGCACCCAGCAGGTGAAGAATAAAGGTTCCCCCCACCCCCTGCCCCCAGCAAAGTCTGGAGGGCAGAGCTGGTGAGGTCATCTTGCATACAATAGGCACTCAGTCTGTGTCTGCTGATGTCTGTCCGGGACAGCCTCAGTCTCCACAGCTCCTCTCAGACCACAGTGTTCGCAGCAGACCTGCAGGGTCTGGCTTGGACCTCGGGCCGGGGCTTCTCAGATCATTTCTACACACACAATCTCAGCATCACCCGATATTCTTGCTTCCCAGGAGGCAGGTCTGGGGGGGCAGGCAGGGACAGCTGTCTCAGCCTCTACACATGAGCAGTGAGGGTCACCGAGGGCAGTGGTGGACAGAGCCCTGGGCTGGGCCTCAACAGCCTGTACTTGACCCCTGGCTCCGGTGGGGTGGGTTCACGGAGCTCCTCAATCTCACTTTACTCCTAGGCCAGGCAAGATAGTGGAATTGCCACCATACCAGGCTCAGACGCAGGAGGCCTGAGATCAAATCCCGACTCCTTCCCTTATGAGGAGCAGCTGCCATGCCCTGGCCACCAACCTTCTTGATGCTCTGCGTCCCCCTGCATCCTCACTCCAGCCTTAGGAGATGGTTTTATTCTGCCCATTTTACAGATGAGGAACACTAAGGCTGAGAGAGAAGATGCCATAGGCCTGCAGCTTCCCCATATGTAAGATGAGGACCCCATCTGGGTGCTGGTAAACTTAACCGAATGGAGTGTGTGTAAATTATGTGAGGAGGTCCCGACTAAGGATCAGGGGCTGGACTGACCCTGGAGTCTTCTTTGCAAATCACACCCACTCCCCTCAACGTCCACCTCTGCCCACCTCTCCACCGCCCCATTCCCCGCCCTTTCCTCCTGCTTATCCAGGCACCAGGAGTTCTGGGTCTCTCAGCTGAAGCCCCAGGAGGCCCTTTGTGGAGGGAAAGCCATACAGACCCTTGGTGCCTCCAAGTTCAAGGAGGGCAGCTCCTGCAGGAGGAAGGAAAAGATGGAGGGCGGGGGGCAGCAGGGGCCGGAAAGAAGGAGGGAGGTCCCCTCCTGAGCCCACCGCCCCACCTTCCCCACGGAAACTGGCCCCCGGAGCGCCAGAAGACGGCTCAGGCTGAACCACACGACCTGCCGCAGGTCGGGTCCCCGGTTTCGCCTCTAGATCTAGGAACCCCAGCCCTTCGGAGGCAGCTGCGTCATCACTCAGACCTGCTCGCCTGTTCAGGTGAGACGGGTCAAGAGGGCTCATCCACACTAGCATCTGGTGAGTGTAGGGCAAGTGTTTGGTCTCTCGAGCCCACCCCCGACCTTGGCATCAATCTTTGTCACCCAGGCCCCTCTTCTGAGTTAACCTCATCGCCTCCCACTCTGGCACCCCTGTCCTCCCCTCTGCCTGCTCACTGTCCTCCGAACGTGCCACCCTCAGGATCCCCCTGCCTGAGCCGAGCTCCCCGAAACAGACAGACAAGCCTCCTGTGTTTTGATGTTTACGTCATGGCCTTTCCCTTGCCACGTGAACGTCAGTCACATCTGCATTCCACCAACAGCAGCTCTTTCTAAGCTGCTGTTTCCACCCAGGAGGAGGCGGAGTTAGCAGTGCCTGCCAAGCAAGCGTTAAATGGTAAAGTGCTGAGGCTTCAAGCTGAGCAATGCCAAATCCCAGCCAGGCATCTGGCTGCCCAGAGGCTCTTCCTGTCTTCCTGTTCCTGGCTCCTGGGGAGGGAGGTCAGGGTGCCAGCTGACCCACTTTGGGTCCCGGCCACGATGTGTGAGACCCCGCTATGATGGGGTCAGCGGCGCTCCAGGGGTCCCGCCGGCCGCCCTCTGAGTGGTGAGCATGGCTGCCCAGGGGGTTCTCGAACCCGAGCCTGGGGCTGCCCCGCTCCGAGCAGCTTCCCCACCTCCCTTGGGCTCCCCACAGGCCATTCTCTGAGGGGCCACCAAAACCAACACACGAAATACAAGTCTGGTTTTATCACCCGTCCCCAGCTCAGAATCCTAACAGCTTCCCCCATCCTTAGGTGAAGGGGCCCAAATTCTCACCTGTGGATCCTGCCCCCACCTCCCACCCTCCCAACTCTTAGGCACCTGCCCCACTGGCTCCCTGATTGGGCCGAAGAGCCCCGCTGTGGGCCAGGCCCCCCTCGCAGGCATCCTGGGGTGGGGGGTCACTGGGAATTTCCCTGTG